AGCATCCTTACATAGACCAAGTATTAGCTATACATAATTTAGAAACGGGAACATACGTAGTTAGGAGGATACATGAAAACGGAAGTCTGAGAGACATTCTCTATGGTACGGAGTATAATAAGAGTCATTTAGCGAAATATGGCAACCCTAGAATAAGGAAACCGTTTACAATAGGACAGATCGCGCACTACGGATATCAGATACTGCACGCGTTGAAGTTTTTACATGAAAAGGGCATCCCACATGGTACGTATATTTGCCATCTATTTTATAGGTACACTAGCGGACCATCCCCGAAAACCTTACATATCAAATTTTAGCAAAATCTTTAGGGCCGTTTTCGAGATTACATTACCTTTTGACCTTACTTTTTGTAAGTCACGAAGCTTATGTTCCAGTAATTGACCCATTTTTAGAATTCATTTATGATACACTTTTCTCTTTTGTTAACGGGGCCTAACGCGGGGAAACTTCATAAAGCTGTAGCTTTTGGAGAAATAGACTTAAGGAGTGTGGGAATTTTAACTCACTACTCCCCGGGCGGACCATCATTACCACCTGTAAGAGACACCGGGACCTCTTGATAAACCAACTCCGGAGGAAACCTGAGAAACTTAGCCTTTCTCGTTCTTAAACCTAGCTTCATTGACGAACAGTCTGACAGACTACTATCCTATTTTGATGTTTCAAAAGTACGTTTTGATGTTTTGACTTTAGCGATCACTCCAACAACTTAGCGGGGGATTAGGATCTCATCCTTTTTAATTTAATGTTTTTTTTATTCCCAGGCCACATCCACCCCGGGAACATAGCGATAGACAATCAAAAAGCTCTTTTAATGGATATAGAGAATATTCTAGTGGGTGTACCGTGCCTCTATCGGCCTCACCTTCTGCACTTACGAAGGGTATCCACAGCTGAGGCCATTGACGTCTACTGCTTCGGCAGAACATTGTACGAAATGGCCTTCGGAACCCCACTATCAGAATATTACTGTGATTATTACCCCGATGGTATTAATGATGATTTAGGTAAGTAAACACATTTTTTATACCTATATATCGGTCGGCAAACGAGCAGACGGATAACCTGATGGTAAGCAATCAGCGCCGCCCGTGGACACCCGCTACGGAGGAGTTATGAGTGCGTTGCCGTCCTTTCAGGGATTACGAATTTGGAGATTTAGGGATTGAGGAGGGATTGGGGGAAGAAAAGGATTGGGCCTCCGGTAACCTCACTCACACGGCAGATGACAGAGACATATATAAAAATTAAACAAAAAACTATGTGGGAGAGCCATGCTTCGGCACGATGAGCCTGCTCGACCGGAGTGATACCAAGGCCTCAAATAAAACCGGCGTGACACTACACTTACATTGTGTTTCGCCGTGTGAGTGAGGTTACCGGAGGCTATTCTCGCCTCGCCCATCCTCAATTCCCCCATACTTAAATCCCTTATAAAGGGTTTATCAGTACTTGTAGTAACTCCTTTGGTATTTCGAGTGTCCATGGGCGGCGCTGATTGCTTACCACCAGGTAATCCGCCTGCTCTTTTGACAAAAAAAATATATATGACTTCGTTAGCTTAGAAAATGTACCATATCTATTTCAGAATCGGTCCTCCGTCTCTGTTTATCGAGCAGCTCATGTAAGCACGGCGGTCCGTCACTGGAGCACCTGCTACAACATCCACTGTTTGCACGAGCCCCCCTAAATGGCCTCACGATGGGCGCACAGAATGATGCCCGCATGCACTTGAAATTCCCTCTTGCACTCAAGGAGGAGCTGAAGACTGCCGTGTGTAATATCGAAGCTAGGTTGAAGAGTGAACAAAAATTGGTATGTTGTAATCTTGTCAATAAGTAATTAAACTAAAGCGAATTTTAGCTACTAGACTTTCGAGTTTATCGGAAACATGTATACTAGCCAGTTCAATATTTTTTTGTTTTTTTTATTTAATAGGTCGGCAAACGAGTAGACGGATTACCTGATGGTAAGCAATCAGCGCCGCCCATGGACACCCGCAACGGAGGAGTTACGAGTGCGTTGCCGACCTTTTAAGGATTAGGGATTTGGAGATTTAGGGATTTAGGAGGGATTGGGGGAGGGGAAGGATTGGGCCTCCGGTAACCTCACTCACACGGCGAAACACAACACTGTGGTTATTTCACGCCGGTTTTCTGTGAGGCCGTGGTATAACTCCGGTCGAGCCGACCCATTCGGGCCGAAGCATGGCTCTCCCACACTTAATTGTAATATAATATATTCCTTTTCTTTCCTCCTTATCATAAACTAGCTTCTCTCGCGCAGTTTCACTCGCTGCTCGGTTCCTACATATCGTAGCGTGATGTTTTATAGCCTTCCTCTATAAATGGACTCACGAACACAAAAATAATCATTCCATTCGAACCAGTAGTTTCGGAGATTATCGTTGAAACAAACAAATTCTACAGATTTATAACGATGAACCATAAAAACAAGGTTTTTCATAGATAGTGAAAATATAACTTATTCTCAGTACAGTAATCGATACTTGAATATTCAACATGATTATGGGTTGTACTAAGCTGGTATTATAATACTTATATATTTCAGGTGCGAAGTGCGAAAAGAGAAGTCCGAATACAGGAGATACTCGGTTCTGAAGAAGAAATAAAAAAACAAAAACGAAGAGCGGTAAGATCTATTTTACATAATTTAGTTTCAATTAGGTACTTAGTTAAAATATGGATAGAAATAATAAATAAAACGAACCTTAAGTATTTTGCATTCAGCATAGAAATGAAGGTTAGTAGGTATTACTTTTTACGTTGAAATAATGACTTTGCAGAAAAAGCGTGAAAGTCTATGGAAGTCTACGTCGTCTCTGGCGGAGACGGTGCGATCGCAGAGTGCAAGCACAGCGTCCTCGCCCACGCCGCCTGCCCTATGTAAGTACCGACTACATAGTATTCACGGGTCTATTTCAGTTTATGCATTGCAACCCGTTCTGGATTTAGGGTTTATTTATTTTACACTTTTAAACTTTCGCTAGCAGAACTTATTTTGACATGTCAAAAAGTTACGATTTTCAAATATTAACACCCTGTACCCTATGTACAGGATGTTAATAATTGAAAATCGTAACTTTTGTTAAAATTTTGGATTGAATTATGTGGGTAGTTGAGTTGATTTACCCAACATACCACACGCGTATTCCTATAATACAGATGTATTTGCTTTAAGATACAATTGTACTGTGTTACTATGCCCGAAATGTATGCTATGCAGGCCTGCCTTCAAAACTAGCCATTCGTAACACTTAGTTATTATGATCGAACTACATCGTGCGAGGGAAAATCACTTATTTCTCTTGTCTCATCAAACCCCAAGCGATAATGTCTCTTATTGCCACTATTGAATAGTTAAACTATTCTATAAAAATACTTCAATTAACATATTCACAGCTCACGATACAAGTGCCACAGGATCACAGACAGCGGCGAGTCCGTGCGACGCTCGTTCTTCACTCCTGGCCGCCATTTGCGCCTTCGACAAATCCCGCCTCGCCAGTGTCGTGGACTCGCGGTGAGACTAACTCCACAGAACATTGACATCTATACGCATTTATTGGAGATTTGTTCAGCTCCCGTATCCAATATGAATGACAAAGTCCCAGTGAAGATTCTAAATTGCAATTGGCAATAAATAGTTTACTGATTCGGCAGTTTCTTCTTTGTTCATCCGTATTTTTAAGTCAGGATAGTTCAACATCTAGTTTTTTAATAGAACACAGAAATATTTTCTTCGCTAAAGATAGTTTTAAAGAGAAGATAGGAAACGCGAGGATTAAACCCATAATTCCCTTTACCGAGCTGGTACCACTTAAAATTGTCTCAATAGTTCAAAAAATGTTATGAAATTAATATTTTTTGTGGTCAGGGTCAGAATGATCTCAACCCATCATTAAGTAATTTAATATCAAACATAAATATAAATCCGTTTTCACTCTAAAATGTCTAATTCTCTTGTTATTAGAATACAAAAATAAAAAAATAATAAAGCGTACTTGTCAAAATTACCTTCAATACAAATAGAATATGTACTTTATTGCATTGCAATAAAGTTTTTTTTTATAAAGGTCGCTAAATAAGGTAGGTGTTGCTACAATTTATCCTTACATGGATAGTGGTCTGTTGACATTGCGTCATGAATGAGAAAAAAATATTGAAATTTTCTAATCTATTAAATAATATTCAATGGTATATGAGTTTGAAGGGTACAAAAAACAAGATAGGTATGTTATTTCAGCGTTATAATTGTATCAAATAAATTAAAACCTGGAGGCTGAATATGGAAAATTGGAAAGCTATTTTAGTATAAGGACTTGAGTAAATATAAAATTACTATTTTGCAAGATGCCTTGATAATGAAGTGGAATTGTGTACATTGTTATTCGAATGTGATAAGTCATTAATATATAAGTGCATTGATACATTAGAAGCTCATTCCAAAGTTTGCGTGGAATTTGGTAAATTATCATATGTATATTTTTATTGTATTTTACAGAAGTTTTAAAATTATTTCATTGTCTATGCCTTTTGTGCAAAATTTTGGAAGCTTCATTAGCAAGAAGTTTATTATCGCGGTCCATGGCGATACTCACTGAGACCTACATCAATGTCAAAACAGATGAACAGTGGGTCTTGCATTGTCTCTGTGCACATCAGAGCCTTTCTGCCTATCAGAGATTAAGTATGTTATGTCTTTCTTTATATACATATGTAGTGGAAAAAATCATTTATGCTAAAAACATTTTTATTAAATAACGATAAAAGATTAATTCAATAATTCATTCATTGTTGCTTTCTTCTTTTAATCAGGAAAACCTAAATAACATATTTCTTTTACCTCTAACATTTTAGAGATTTGCTTGTAAAATTGAATGTTATTTTACAATAATAAAACTGTCTTTGATATTATTGTTTATTGCTTTTTACTTGTGGTGCATTTTCTTGCAATTTTTTCATGCAAAACGGCAATTTCATAGGTAAAGACCTATTATAAAAAGTTGGTATTTATAAAGTATTATGTATACCTTTTGTAAAAACTGAAAGGGGGAAATTAATTCAAACTATTCAAAGCCGATATTATGATTATATGTCAGATCTCTTCGACGTTTTCATAATTATTTTAGTTTAGATTAGCCCAATGAAAACTAATTTTCATGTATGGTGGTAATTTCAATTTGTATTGTAATCACGTGCATGAAGGTTTTATTTCTATCAACCTGAAATACACACGGTGCCTGAAGGTCTTTATTTACAAATATGTTTTTAACGTATATAAAGATTGCATGTTTTTTTTTATCTCGCCTGGTAGTAGGCGATGATGCGACCTATATATGACCTTACCAATGAGGTTTTATTTTGGTGCTTGAAAAATTCATTACTCGTATTGAAAATATCACCAAGTAAATAATTAATTTATTTAGTACAACGCAACGATTTATACAAATCCAATGCAACCTTATTAGAGTTATTCATATAATTAGATATTTTTCGAACAAACGTTAAGTAAAACATTGTAAAACGTAATTATTATAGTTTTAAGTTGATTCAAGATCTTGTATGTGTATAGAAAATTATTAATTTATATAATTTTAAGTTTCAAAGTGATATGCGACTGGTCAGTCATTATGTTATTGGTTTATTTTGAAATTTATTTTTGGAATTATATCTATGTAGAAGCTTTAATGCCCTAGTGTAAGGTAACTACCTAAATTATAAAAAATAAATGTTTAATATATTTTGTTGTAAGAGTAAGAAAATATACAGTTGCGATAATTATTTGGCTTTTATTTTCCATTCATCTTAAAATACAGATAACAGAAACTGTGTCTTCGTTTCTTAATTCCTAAGCTTACATCTAATTATAAAAAACGTAAAATAGCAATTCTTTGCGAGGAAATAAAAAATATGTGATTATAACTAAATAAAACGGGCTACATAAACTTTGTAACACCACATATCGCAATTTGACCATGGAGGTTGATTATAAAATATAATATTTGTTTTGCAGTACTTACCGAGTGCACATAATTAATTTAAAATAAAATTATATTTTTTAAATTAACAGGAAACATTAGTGAAATAAAAACGAACATGACGTAGCTGAACTGAGTTATTCAGTGCTTTATATAATTATATTATGAGTCACATATATTTTGCCAATACATCGTGATACTCACAATTCAGTATGCCCTCATACAGTTTACTTATAATATATCTAACTTAAATTCTGCTTAATTAGAAAACTAGATATAATCAAACAAATAGGACAGAACTTTATTACACAAATATAACGAAAAAAGAAATTTTATCACAATCAGACCATAGATCTAGCCACATAGGTGTACCTAACTTCTTAAAGTCCAAGAAGTATCGAAATAAAGTCATTCACTTTATGGTTTGCAAGTTCTGAGACTTTACTGTTGCACTTCACTGTTTCACTATATTCTACTGGTAATGCTATAAAAATATAGTTAGTATACTATGTAAAACTAAAGTAAAACAAGACAATACTTTTCTTACTTTTTCAATGTTTCCATAAACATAATCATATACGCTCCTCGATGCCGCTTTTTTCTTCATAATGTATTTTGTAATAATACAATAGCTTAAACTATTTATTGCTATTTTTACAGTCAAGGAAAAGGAAAATTTGTTACATTGTGATGTTAACAAAGATTGTGATTTTCTTAACAAAAATACACGATAAGTATTTGGTTAAGGTAAGAAGCCAATTATTCTCAAGTTTTGCGATTCGGGATCCCAATAACAATTATTTTTGACGGAAGACAAAAGATAACATTGTTGTTTCATTTTTAAATAAAAGACATTAAAAAGCTAAAAACAGAATAATGCGAGAAACTTAATAAGTATACTATACTGCCAGAAAATAACGTTGACATATTAAATTTAGTTATCAAACAATATAAAGACTCCATTAGTTTGTATTCTTGTCAATGACATTTTAATTTTGAAATTAATTTGGAATGTCGCTATACGACATATCAAATTAAATTATTAAGACAAGCAGCCATAATCCCTTCTTGAAAGTCCGAAAAATGTGTTTTAATTTGTCGTTAACAAAATCCTTTTGTCAGGGAGAGCTTCATAAGCTTGTATTTACATCAATTTTATGACATGCTTCTTAATTGTAATTTACATACATCTCATGTATCCAAGGGGTAACCAACATACCAAAGTTATTATAAAAAACGACCTACGTCAATTACTGAGACAAGCTCTACAAGTTCGTAGTCTCTGCTGATATAAAAGAGTCCTATTGTGTCTGTATCTGAGTCTAGAAACCAGTAGAGCTTTACTTTTTTGAGTAGAACGTGATTTTATATTAAATGTAGTATCACTCTCGATAATAGCTATAATACAAACTAACCAAAACTCTTTTCGAAACCACATAATTTCGTGTGAGTAAAAATTGATGGAAAACCGGTATACTTATAATATTATAGTTATTATACTATAGAATTGCAGGCCTTGTGTCGAAATTGAGGAGGACTAGTAAATGTGGGCCCTCGTCACTCCGAAACAATGATAAGCAAATGCTAATCCAATTCTATAATGTCGTCTATGTCGTCCAAATCGAAGTCCTTTAGCGTCATTGCTGTAAAAAAAAAAGAATTCAAATTACACATTTCATTTGTTACTTATAGTGAAATATAGGGCTTTTTATTTTATATTTTTGAAGCTTCAACATGCCAGCTTCGTAGTAAAGAACTTCAATATTAAAATTATAACAACCAAACTACTACCTACTACCATGCCGACTAAATTTATTAGGACCAGCGTGGATTCTTCTATCCCTCATACTCAAATTCTTATCCTTTATATCCGGCAAAGAACTACAGGTCTGGGTGTTATGTGTATGTGAAATTGTATGTTTGTAAACGTACCCATGACACAGGAGAACATCCAAGTGTGGGGAAACGTTTTTAAAAAGTTAAGTAAAAGTAAACAGGTGATCCGGCTGCCCGTTTACCGCCCTACTACTTTTCTAATTGTCATATTAAGTACAGTTGAGCAACTGTCTGAGAGATATAAGTCGATTTTTAAAGGTACATTGTGGTATCGTGTTTAACAGAGATAAAATAATTTAGGAATGTTAAGATTACTGACACAGTCTAGAAATCTTAATGTTTGTTAAATAAATAGAACATATTATAATATAGTTATTATTTTACAAACATCCTCGTTTCGAAAAACTTACTTACTAATTCCTATTCTATATAGTTCTATTTCATAGTTTCATATGCCACTATTACTCAATATGAAAGTGACAAAGAACCGGTTTGAAACTGTTATTGGTTGAAACAATGAATACTTACGTTCACTTTTTTTCTTTTTAACTGTTGTAGTATCCATGGTAGATTGCCTCTTTATACCACCATCGATCTTCGATTTCAGATTCGTTCTGTAAACAAATATTTATTTAAAATTGTGTCAAGTACTAAATATTATAACTACAGTCGACTTTAGAACTGTTTTTTTTAATAGCGAAATATATCTCGGCTTTCTCACGTCTGCAAGTTATACGAACCTTACGGCTCTTTCTCTCTTTAATTTTGAATTGTCGAGTTCAGATTATTTATCAAGTGCTTAGTGTATTGATTTTATTTCCAAATATAAAAATATTTTTAAGGAATTCATGATAGTTTTAGGGAGTTTTGAATAATTTCGAAATATCACAGGTTTGAATCGAGAGTCGACTGTGATTCCACAGTGACTAATACTTACGAATGATCTACAGACGCAGCTGGTAAACTTTTGAGTTTGCTATCGTTTAATGGAATTTTAGTAGTGGGGGTCGTCGAACTAATTGATGTTGGTTGTTCCGTGTTGAACTGATTGGTAGAACTCAATCTTTTAAGAAGAGCTTGTTTCTTTATCTCTTTTAGCACAGCATCGTCTATATGCTTAGGTACTTGGTCTTTCGGTATTTTTGTTAATTTGAGAATACTTTTCGAGTTGCTGGCCGCGGCATCCAGCGGCAGCGCTAGTACAGGACTAGTGTCACCGACGCCCTGGCCGTGCCAACTTGTACTTTGGTCCGCTCGCGGGACGACAGACGTAGCCGCGATGTCATTGGTCTGATAGTCTGCAGCTTTAATATGAATTATATCCTTCAGTACGTTCAGCGGGTCTTCAGAAGTGAGGTCTACTGCAGTGCTACTCGTACTACTACTATGTGGGACGACTTTACTGTTGGCTTTACGTGTCTGCCTCGTTTTTACCCGGGTTTCCACTTTATTCGCACTTGTCTTTTTATTAACTTTAGGCGGAACTTTCTTTTTCGCAACTTCGAAACTAGCGTTTGGAGGTGGTTCAGTTAGGTCTACAATCCCATAGCTAATATTTTCCAAAACTTCAACTTGCGGTTTGTTGGAACGACGTAGCGAGCTCGGCGCTTCTGTATTGTTTACAAGTTCAATTTTTCCATTTTTAGTTAGTCTGAGAACATCACCAGCTTTGAAAGACTTTTTAGTTTGAATGACAGAATCAAGGATGGTTTCTTTTAAAGTGGACGATGTTTCATTTGAGTGTGGTTGTGGAAGCTTGGGTGCGATGGGGACCGGTTTCGGAGGTTTTTCAACATTGGGAAAGTTTGGGTTGGTTTTGTTGGGTATCACAACAAATTTAGGCTGAGTCACCTGCCCTGTGACTAACTGTTCTAACTTGAGTTTCTGTGCTGCAGTGCAATTTTCTAGTACATGGTTTGGCATATTTAGTAACGGCAGTTTGATCCCGGGGGCAAGTGAGCTCGTGAGAGAAACTGGTACTGGTCCGGGGGGCGGAGGGGGCGCGGGGCTGTCCTCGTCGTCACTGTCCAGGCAGATAGTGTCCTGGGCGACACTGGGCGGCAGTGCTTGGGCGGGGCCGGCAGTAACCGTCACCGGTACGATGCTGGGGGTTGCAGGCTTCGTTGGAGTTGAGTTGCTATCATTGAGCAACGATTTGTTCGATGATGCTAAATTACGGATAGGTTTAAGAATTATATTAGTCGAGATCCCTGTTGGGGAAGTTGCTGAAATTACGTTGACTGGATTTGCTTCCTGCATGCGTAATATATTGTTTAAGAGAATAGGTTTGTTGTGATTTATCGTCTTGGATCCGGCTGCAACGGGTGACGGCAGGGCGGGGCCCGGCGCGGCGGGGGGCACGTCGCTGATGATAATGTTGTCGTTGTCGGGCAGGATGCACTCCACACGGGACTCGCGCGCCGTTGTTCTAATACTGAAAACAAAATTTACTCAGAATTATATATACAATCTAGTTTGTCAATATGTATTTAGTAGCAAAGAGTACTTACAGTCCAACAGGTACAATACAAGGGTCGTTGGGCTTAGGTGGCGGTGGCTGAACTTCTGATTTGGTCAGCTGTGTTTGAGCATTTAATTTTTCTTTGATCAGTTTCTCTCTGAGTGATGCACTATTGTGTTTTGATTTATTTGCAGTTTCTTTGAATGCTTTTTGTGTTGTTATCATCTGGTCCTTCATTTGTAAGCTGGTAGCTGCACAGCTAGCGGAAGTAGACGCAGCTTTAGGGTTTAGACTGCTCATTTTTCTCATTACATCCTTGCCAATAACCTGTACAAAAGTGGTTTGGTACAATGTTATAAAAAAATTAAGCCCGGAGGTCGAGTAATGCAAATCAATGAAGTGATACTAACGCATTCATCGATATTTTTGAACATCGCACTATAAATAAATAAAAAATGGTTTACCTTGACGGCAATATCGTAAATAGGTCCGCTGTACACGAGTTTCCCGGTCTGCTCGGCTTCGTTGAAAGCTTTCAGCGTGCTGTACTGGGCAGCCAGTGTGGCCGCGTCCTCGTCCAACATGGGGTTGCCCACTAAATACGTGTGGGCAACAATGTTTATGAAATTCTGATTTTTCAACAACGACATCGGCAAAGGCACATTGTCGTGATCGAGGGTACTCGTATCTTCTGAAGGCTCTTCAAGCAATGTTTCCTGAGCAGCTGATGTGTCCACTGGGATATCGTCATCGTCACTCAGTATAATACTGTCCTCCATTGGCTCTGTAACTGTTACGCGATCCTTAGGCTCTTTGGGTGGCTGTGGTTTAGTTTCTGTTGGCCGAGGTTTAATATCTGCCGGCCGAGGTATGGTTTCTGTCGGCAGTGTTCTAAAATCTGGCGGTTTTGGCTTGGTTTCCGCCAGCTGTGTTCTGGTTTCTAACGGCAACGTTCTGATTGCTGCCGGTTGCGGTACTGTTTCTGTCGGCTGCGATCTCATTTCTGCCGGTTGGGAGTTGGTTTCTGCCGACAGTGTTAGGAATTTTGCTGGTTGCGATACATTTTCTGCCAGTTGCATTTTGGTTTCTGCCGGCAATGTTTTAATTTCTGCCGGTTGCGATGCTGTTGCTACCGTCAGCATTCTGATTTGTGCCGGTTGCGTTGCTGTTGCTGCCGTCAGCATTATAATTTTTTCTGCCGGTTGCAGATTGGTTTCAGCCGGCCATTGTTTAGATCTTGACGGCCGTGGTATTACTTTTATTTGCCAAGGTTTACTCTCTGCTGGCCGGGGTTTAATTTCTCCCACGTGCTTTCTGATTACTGCCGGCGGCGTTCGAACTTTTGCTGGTTGCGATTCGGTTTCAGCCTGTTGTGGTTCGGTTTCAGCCCGCTGCGGTTCGGTTTCTACCATTTGCTTTTTGGATTTTGATCGCCGATTCATATTGGTTACCTTCTTCGGATTTTTAATGCTAATACCTTTTTTTGAATCACTTTTTGGTTTTGGTTCCGGCGACTTAGTTTTGTCATTTGTCTTGAATGACTCAAAGACAGGCTCATTGGTATCTGATAGAAATTGTTCGTCAGCACTCATAGTATTTTCATCAATGTATGCATTTATTGAGGTATTCCGTAACTTCTTCTTGCGTTTACCGCTGTCCGGTTTATCAGGAATGAATTCTGTATCAGCGGTCCATTCATCGTCATCCAAGTTTATGATGTCACCTGCTAGCGAATCGATACATATTTCAGCTGCAACAGCCGCTTTTCTTTTTGTGCGTTCATTTGGATTTGTTTCATTTTTTACCTCTTTCGTCGCTTCGTCGTCTTGCAGCACTGCGTCAGGGGCAACGGAGTTGTTGATAGACTCGCAGACAATATCGATCACCTTGGGGCCTGACGTATTCAGCAACACCTTCGCTATATTAGCTGTCATGTCATCATCATTCCAGTCTTTTCCCTCGATATAACCTTTATTTACAAGATTTCTTACTCTCGTTACAACATTTGTAATATCCATATGTTTCCGTTTTCGATTCTGGAAATTGTATTTGAGGAGTATGTCTGTGATTTGGTCGACGAGGATTTCTTCAGAGACGGCACTTTGGTCCGCGAGAGACGAGGTGGAGGGTTGTTCCTCGTACTGTTTGCTGGTACCTGGTTTAGCTAAACTTTTCTTGCTATTACTATTGGTCTTTGTGTCTAAGGCGACGGATTTCTTCCCTTTCTTAGCTTTAGGTTCATTGGGAGTAGGGTCCTCATCTTTCGGTTCGGTCTTAACCTCGGTCGCCAGTTTCTGTGTCTCTGCGTTGGTAACGCGCTTTAGTGATATTCTTGGTCCTTTGGTAACTGCTTTATCTTCCATATCTGTGAAATGTGAATAATAATGAACAGTGGGCGTGGTTTATTGAAGTCGAGCCGGCAGCGCGACAGTACGTACGTTTGTGCGCCTGTTCCTGCTGGAACTGCATCCAGACAGCGTTGCGCTCGTGCTCGGGCAGCGCCTGCTCGTGCTCGCCGCGCAGCAGCGAGTCGTGCTCGTGCACGGCGTGCACGGCGCAGACGGCGTCGCGCGCCACGCGCAGCAGCGCCACGTCGCGCACGCCGGCCGCCACGCCGCCCGCCACGCACGCGCCCGCCTCGTCGTACCTAACGCGAGCCTCTATCAGGGACCGCGCCAGCGACGCTCTCTTTACTCGGAGTCGTCGTGGCCGAAATGCATCAATGCTAATTGAAATACGTCTACTCTAATTCCACGAATGCGAAGTGAAGTGTGAAACTTCGCAGGCTTCCTATCACGATTCCATTTATTATATTCTCTTAGTATTTATGAACTAAAGTTTTAATTTAATACCCAGATTTTATTCCTCGGATTATTCATATCATTTATAAGAAACCAAAATAGATGTCGTTTGCCGTTCGCTGAGTCGTGTGTGGCTCAATATGCTCATGAGAACGAGGCCCTGGCATGGCTTGTAACTAGTAGAGTTCCTCGTCACGCGTAAAGCGTAAAATGACAATAAAAATAACTTTATAATAAAGAACAGGTTTTGTACTCACGTGTAGAGTTCGGTGAGTTCCGTGCTGTTGTAGTGTCGGTCGATCTGTTGCTCGTCGACGACGCGGCAGGCAACGGCCTGCTTGGTAACTGAGCGCTCGTATATCTTTTGTTCCATTGTACCCTGGGGCAAATATACATATGTATATTTAGCATCTTAGAGGGAAAAAACATCAACTGACTACTCCTGTTCTGGTTGGGAAGAGAATTTGATTCTTAAGCCGCTATCCCACTAGACGTTTTCCTAGCGTTGACGTCAACGTTGTGTTTGCGCAGCGTTGACGCCGCGCTGACGCGAAGTTACCGCCGCGTCGTCGCGTGCCAAGAAATTAACGTTCGCTTAATTATTAACGTTTTGCATTGTTAACGTCGCCTTTGTTGGCAAAAATTGAATGCCAAAGACTATTACATTTGATAGAACAGGACGGCGTGATTGTACCTGTTGCCATCAAATGCGTTAACATTGCGCCGACGCTCATAAACGCCAGTGGGTTAGCGGCTTTACAGACTGAAAAGTGATTTTCTGCTGCTCCGGGATGGGGCCTTGCAGCCGCAACCACCGCTACTGTTCTTTGATCCCTTAGTTTTGGTCTTTGGTTTGGTTCACATTTACAACATGCCACACAAGCACGGTTGGCGCAGTAGCTGGGCAATTGGCTGCTGAGCAAAGTGTCAGGGTTTGACTCCCGCACCGACCGGAATAAAACTTTGTGTGAATTCCAAATTGTTGTTACAGGCCGAAGTGGCTAAAGAATGTGAATTTGTATGTTTGTAAACGCACTTACAACACAGAAGAAAACAATAGTGCGGGACAACGTCTTTATTCAAAAATATTTGTTTTAAAGGGCTTACCATAGCGACCAGCCTGTATATATAGCAATCCTTTTTCTGTCCAAAGCGATAGACCCTGAAGATGCTCTGTATATCATGCGCGGGGTTCCACGAGGTATCCATGATGATCACACGGTTGGCGGATGTCATGTTCAAACCTAAGCAACCGGCTCGTGTCGATACTAGGAACAACCTGGATGAATGGATGATGAAGTTAGAATAATATAATATTATTTTTTTAAATTAGTGATTATTAGGAAGTCGACTAGCCACTAATTGGCTTTGTAGTAAGCGGTTTTCGACAGTCAATAGCATAAAAGTGAGAAGCTTTGCAGACTGTCAATATTATTTCGATTTACTATTCTACTACTTTACTTCTACTAGCTAAAACTTGAAGAATTCTACGATATAAAACTACGAAACGTTGCAAAAACAACTCTAATAACACAAGAAATAGGTACAAACTCACTTAGTCTTAATGTTAATATCGGCGTTGAACTCCCGGCACCAATTCTGCCGTACCTCTGCTGGCACGGAACCGTCCAGTCTGAAATACTCGTTGCCTAGCGACCAGTTCTTCATCTTCTTTAGGAAGTACTCAAGAGCGTCCAGACAGAATAGCGATGTAGAGAATATTAGCCTAAAATATATAAAAGAAACGTAATGCTTTATGTGAGAAAAAAGTTATGTTAATTCAGAGTATCACCTATCTACATTCAAAATTTCAACTAAATCGGTCTAGCCGTTTTAGCGTGAAAGAATAACAAATTAAAATTACATTCTAGGAGATTCTATTCAAGGAGGAAATCATAGTGTTGGGTAACGTTTCTCAATAAAATCTTACAAACTTTCACATTTATAATATTATTTGAAAATTTGAAATATATGCTTGTTACGATTATGTTAGCGAGAGACTGTGCGTGAGATGAAACAGACAGACTTGTGAAAGAAGGACAGAGACCGTTTCAGCCGATAAAGAACTTTTTTTATAAAATGTCAAAACGATTCGCTTATTTTGTGCAACCTATTTACTTATACTTTTGAGTGCACGGTTGCTGGTTCGATTGCCGCACGTAACAACTTTCTCTTTGAGTGATCCACAAATTTTTGTTCGCGGTCTGGATGTGATGTGAAATTGTATGTTTGTAAACTCACCCACGACACAGGAGGAAATCCTAGTGTTTCGTTTCGTTTTTTTTTATTTTATTAATGTCACTTATTATCATAATTGACATTAATAAAATATGTGCAGTTTTTTTTAAATACGTCCGTGATAATAATTGACATTAATAAAATATGGGCAGTTTTTTTTTAAATACGTCCGTGATAATGATTGATATTAACACAATATGGCTACTTACACTTTATCACCAAGCGCTATGCATTCGTCCAGCAATCTGAAGATGACCACGAACTTGTTGGAGCTGTCGAGCGTCTCGAGCATGTTGCCGCCGTCCAGGTAATCCAGCCACCACAAGTCTTCTGACAAGTTCGGCTTTATATCCTCAACGTCCTCCGTCGCGAGATCATCTTCTAACTTCTCTATTGTAAACAAGAGTTGTATGGAGTTTGTACAAAAATAGTAATTAGATGTATTTCTACTTATATTGATTATTAACTACTAGTATCAAGGGGCCATCCATAAAGTACGTCACACGTCAAGAGTGGTGGAGGTGGAGGGGCGACAAAGTGTAACATGGTGTGACAAGGGGTGAGAGGGGTCTTAAGTTTTGTGACATCACATTTCAAAATCTAATCTAGATATACTAATCGCGTTATTTGAAATATGAATCAAACTAAAAAATATTTTCGGCTCTAACTTTAGGACGAGACGGTTTAAATTGTTTTGTTGACATTTGTTGTTTTGTTGAGTTCATGCTAGCTCTAGGAACACGCGCCGATCGCTGACAAGCCCTTTGTCGAATGCCACCAAATTTATTGTTTCTATTTAATGATTATTCAATGTGAAATTGCAAAAAATGTGACATCACACTAGAGAGGTAAGGGGTCTCTGAAATGCGACCACCTGTGACAAGGACGGGGAGAGGGCTCAAAAATTATGACATTCATATGACGTAATAGGATAACTTTACTTGATAACAATAAAACAAAGAAAGCAAAAGAATTGCATAGTGGGATGATATTTTCAAAAGTTGCCATGTAAAAATAATAAACGGTACAACTTTCGTTTGCCAGAATTTAGTAGGAGTCAATCTATTTCTATAATTCTGGAGTTAAGATCTTTTTACCGTCAATGTCAGCACTTTTTTACCTGAAACACAGGTTTGCACCTAGTTCAGGTTGATGTTATACACTGTACTTGATTTTAGATTTTAAGGAATATTTTTTGTAATCTACCTTTAACAACAAATAAACATTATTATTATAATGTAGCAAGAACGTCCTGAATTTATCTTCGTACCTACATATTGACAACAATTCCATACAATTAAGTCAAACGACATTACCCCGTGAAAATAAAGAATCGTTTGGTTGTTTAGTATATATCAAGAGAAATATTCTACTAACTTTAAGTCGTTGTGACTTGAAGTTAGTAGAGTTTTGGGACTCTTATTAATAAGCAGCGTGCGCGTCGCAGCGACGTTTTAAAAGGCCCGTTGAATCCACTTAATTCACGTAAGTCATAATGTTTGGTACCGCTGGTCGGATTGCCAAAATTCTTTAACTGATAGCTACATTGTTCCTGAGTGCTATTCGCTATAAAACATCACGCTACGATCAAATGGAGCAGCGAGTGAAACCGCGCGAGAGTAGCTAGTTATCAATAAAATAAATATGTCCCACGCAATTAACAAAGTGTAAAAAATAAAGAAAGATTTAAATAAGATGATTCAATTACCTTTTAATAACTTGTTCCTCTCCTCCCGATCGCGGGCTTTAGTTTGGAAGTTATGAAGCACTTGAGGATGCGACCATATCTTCTGTAGTATGTGGAAGTCTTTCAAAATGTTCTGTTTGGACTGCTTCGCGTAGTTATTCAAGTAGTGTTTGTACAAATCCCATTGGCACTGCGTTAGGTTAATAAATACTGTGTACTCGTGTTTCTTTGGCAAGTACGGGTATAGTACTGAAGCCTCCTGCCTTTGAAGACAGCCTTCTAATACTTTATGCAGAATATGAGTACGAGCCTTCATCAGCTTGATGTCTTCCTCACTTGAATCTCGGTGCTGGCCGTTCGTTATAGGATTTTCGAACCTATTTACAGGGGACAGAGTAAATTTTTAGTTGGAAGTAAATTTTTAATTTTAATATTCAATTTTTTGCCATGATCGAGCTAAGTTAAAAGCGCTTTCGCCATACGAATGATCCCAAACCGATGTTTTTAAGGACTTTTTACAAGATAAATCCGAATTCTGTCGGAATTTTTCGGACCTGTATTTTAACGGTTTCAGGACCGGTTTCAATCGGACATAGTGTTGAATTGGTCCAACACTTATAGTCTTACACCAATAGACATAAAGTTTGAATTTGAAAATTATGAAAATTCCCAAAAAAGTAACGTCATAAAAGTGACTAAACTCACCGATTGGAATACTCTGCATAAGTTCCAAGTAAATTAGGCTTAACGAAGTTCACCATGCAGTAATACTCTCTCAGATTATTCTGCATCGGAGTCCCAGTGAGGATAATTCTTCTTCTTGTGACGACCCTGCTCATGGCGACGGTAAGTACCGAGCAATCGTTTTTGAGGAGATGTCCTTCATCGCAAACAATAATATCTGGACCTGGGTCCAGTAGGGCTGTGCGTATTTTGTTTATTATGGTCGGTCTTACGTCATCAAGGTACGGGTCGAGGGTGGTCAAACTTCTAAAGAGTTCATATCCTATGATGAATATACCGCCACCATTGTACCAGTCTTCCAGTTGGTAAGCTCGTTCGTACGTTTTCCTTAGTTTCGAGAGCTCGAACACCTGTGAGAATGGTTTAACATATAGTTACAATGCTATATTTTTTCTAGAAATGAGCAAAAATGTGTCTTTTTAAGGAGTTGCGGGTTAGGCGCAATAAGGTTCCGAGGCCCCGGCCTGAAGCAGGAAAAGAATCGGGATGGTTTTAGTCAATAAGTGTTTGGTTTAAAATTGTCTCGGCCTGAGTGAGGTGTGAGGGAGAGCCGTGAATTCATTTGATGATTTTCCCACCACAAGAAAAAGACCAGTTTCTTTACTAGATAGCTCTTAATCTTAGCCAAAGAATTAAATATAAATAACTCTTTACCCAATTTAGGATCGAATATCAGTTCCTCAGTTTTACTTGCAACCAGTTGAAAAAGACAAATTTTACCAACTTACTAAATAAAAAATATATTTATGAATGTAATACCTGCAGTTTCCTTTTTATTTTACGTTGCTTGAAACGATAGAATTTTGTTAGAATAGAATAGAACATCCTTAATTTCTAAGTATATGATACATTGAGGTTTTACATTAAATGTTGTTTCATCTACCATTGCTGGTGTAGAAATATTACACAGTTACAGATACACTTCATTATACAAGAATAATCGTGCAAATAAACTTCGAATAAAAGAACAACTTACTTTTATCTGATTAGTAACAGGTCCAATCCATTTGTGTATCTCGTCGACCCAATTGAGTACAGTCGACAGAGGGCAGCACACGAGAACTCGTTGCATATTCACCCCAGGATGAGTTAACACCTAAAATTGTAAGCCAATATTTTGTTTAAACTAAAACGTAAGATAGCGCACAATAATATCTTTAGCGCAAAGTTAGCGCTACGTATTGCGCAAACTTTCCAAACCGTTGTTGTTGTGACCTTTAATTGCGCCTTTATTGGATTGACTTCCAAAATGAGATTAACATTACTATGATAGGAATGTATCTATTCAATCAAACTGGAATAATATAAAAGCTACTTTACTCCAGTACAGCGGGGAAGTCGCTAGCAAAAACTAAAAGTAGGTATTATTCTCACCGTATGTAGTAGTGCCAAGACTTGCAGTGTCTTGCCTAGCCCCATACAGTGAGCAAGAATGCAGCCCCCGCCGGGCCTACCCGTCGCTATCTCCGACAAGCTCTCGAAGCAAGCATCCCACATGAACTTTACACCTTCATACTGAAAGGAAAATTATGTTATTTAGCAAAAAATGATTATTTAGTTAGTTAAACGGCCTAATCTTTGGAAACGAATGGTTTAAATAATACATTTTTAAGATGCATAATCTTATTTCATTTTATAAAAATGCGAAAGTTACGATGTTTGGATTTTTGTTACTCAATCGCGCCAAAAGGGCTGGACGGGTCTGGACAAAATTTAGAACAGGCATAAGATACACTCCGGAATAGGACATAGGCTACATAAGAAGTATCTTATCCCGGAAAGGGCAACCCTAATACCATGTAGGCGATGGCGCGGGCAAAAGTTAGTAAATTTATATTTATATATTTTTTCGTATCAATAACTTGTTCTATATGTATTGGGGACATGGCTCAAGGTATTATGTTTTAAAGGGGATAAAATTATGAAATTTTATTATTACTGTACTGTGTGTAATATCTTACCTGATGGGCCTTCATAACTTTCGTGAAGAATGGGTGGATGGTAACGACGGGTCTGTTCTCTTCGAAGTCGTACTCCAGACAAACCTCGTCATTAATGACTAGAACGTTCACACCCTCTTCACAGCCTAGAAGCTCCCTCTGTGGTACAACATTATGTAATTCATTTAATAAAAAGAAAATCAAATATACACATTACGACACTCCACTTCCCTCAACACTAGAGAATTAATGCATTAGAAATGTACTTGACATTGCAATCATTTTGGTCATGGGGGATAGGAAGAAGTCTCTGGTAACCACACATACACACCATAAAACACAACAATTGCGTAGTTTCCTAGGTCAAAAATAAATTATTTCGACGTTTCAATACAATAAAATATTGAAAAATAACTATACTTTTATTCATCGATCGATCGATATACTAATTTTTAGATTTTTTTAGCTACTTATTAAGAAATAAGTAAGCTATTTGACGCAAAAAAGTTATGACGTCATAGCTCAGTTTTTCATACAAACTTCACAGAAAATTATCGTTTTTGACGTTTGGATAAAAGTATTGAATTTGACTAGTTGGAAACTACCGTATTATAATTTGAAGTTGAAGATCCCAAAAAGATAAGATTCAGGATCAAAAAATATACTTACTTGGTGTATTAGTTTCTGCAAATATAAAATGGTAGGTGATAGGCACATAATGCAAAATAACTAGCGATATTTATGTAAAAAAGAGAATTTAATAAATGAATACTTACCAATTTGGTTTGTTTAGCATTCAGTCTTCTTTTCCTTTCGAATTCTTCCATGTTAGCTACCACAGTACTACGAGCTAAGGATTTCTTGTCGATCACCTGCAAAAAAAATAAAGTAAGAACAAATCTAAAAAAAACTATAAACCCCTAGCTTAGGCAAAATTAATTCTAACATCAATTTACGTAAGGTTTATTTTTACGTCATATTTTTTTTTATGTTGGCATATAGGCCAGTAAACCAGCGGCATAAACAGGGAACGCGGACAGCGGAAACGGAATATATATCCGTAACACCAGTTACGAATGCATTGCCGGCCATTTGAGGATTAAGATATTGAGAGGGGATACGGCGATTTTTGGATAGGAAGGGTTGGGCCTGTAGTAACCTTATTCACACGGCGAAATAAAACTGTGGTTGTTTCACGGCGGTTTTTTATGAGGCCGTGGTATCAGTCCGGTCGACCCTTCTCGTTCGTGCCCAAGTATGACTCTCCAACACTTGAGTTGTTTTTTTTATGTGATAGGTCGGCTGCAAGCGGATTACCTGATAGTAAGCAATCAGCGTCGCCCATGGACACCAGCAACGACGGAGGAGTTACGAGTGCGTTGCCGACCTTTGGGGATTAGGGATTTGGAAATTTTGGAAAAAGGGAAGGATTGGGCCTCCAGTAACCTTATTCACACGACAAAACAAAACTGTGGTTGTTTCACGTCGGTTTTCTATGAGACCGTGGTATCATTCCGGGCGAGCCGTCTCGTTCGTGCCCTAAGAATGACTCTCCCACACTTAAGAGTTGTTATTATAATCACTTAAATGAAACCATGTACAAGATGTATGTATGTAACTGAAATAATATAAATAGATAAAGCATAACCATACCTTTCTAATATTACGGCGTCCCTTGTATAAACTAACTTGGGATCGTTTTGACATAATCGCGTCAGTTGATTCTCCGAACAACTCCCTCGATAGTATTCTGAAAGTTAAATATTAAAAATCACATACAAAATTTCAAATTATTTCAGACGCCATACAATAGGTGTCATAACTCAAGTTTATGGATACATGTTCATTTGGTAGATTATTTTAAAACATAAGACGTGTATTTATTTTGTAATGAAATCACAAACTTTTAATGTATGCCGTTTTGAAATATCACGTGAAATCAGTAACGTAGAACTGAACTTAAATTCGCTTGAGAATAAGTATAAACTTGCTTATTGATCAAAATAAAATAAAAAACGACACCAAAATTTATTTATACCATGTTACTTTTTAATGCAATAAGGGTGTTCCCATCAAGCAGGTAAGGTTTTGTATTTTGAATCTTAACGCACTATATTTAGAATATGAAGTAACTTACCCAAGTTGCTTCTCTCTTTCCAAGAACTTCTTGGCAGATCGCCGTGGTCGAATAGACCTTCGTACTTGTGTATTGGGACGGCCGCCGCGTCGTTCAATGAATTCGCTCACCAACTTCGCTCGCTTAGCATCATCCACGCTAAGGGAATTATTTCGAACATTTTATTAGTCATTACCACCATTCATTTTCATTTGAACGTATAATATATAATGTTTTACCCGAAATAGACACTGGAAGAATTACTGTTTAACAATAAGTAGATTAAAAACAATATTTATTACTTATAAATATCAACTGTACCTTTATCTTGAAGTATTTAATTTAAATAAATACTCTAAAGTTCCATACCTTTTAACTTACAAATTTTTAACGCTTTCCGTGAAACAAAGCTAATAGTTACATACATTTTTTACTGGACAGAGCCTAAATTACGTCAAGACTATTATAGTAATTAATGGGATACGTGTTATATTTATTGCAGAAAAGAAAACAGCAATTTTAAAAGACATTTATTTATTTACGTACAATGAAAAATGAAACTAAAATTACTTATATTTAACTACTAAACTACTTTCAATATACATATATATATGTAAGTATATAAAATGAATAGTCTAATTAAAAGATAAGTAAGAGCTATGATTAATTAGGACGTTGACATGTGATATGGGTCGCTTGACCCGTCGACTTGGTGGCGCAACCAAATAGTTGTCGGCAACCATATTAACCCTAGTGCCTAGTGCGAATTCACTTAACGTTAGCAAGGTCGGCGTTGTGATTGGCTTGCTACAAGTTAACCAACCAATCAGAGAGCTAAACGCGGTAACAGTTCGATGGTGTTAATTAAAAATTCCTCGCACTCAGCACTGGGCTGTCAACTTGGTTGTGCGTCCAAATATGTTCCAAATTCAAAGCTGTCGGTGACCAAATCAACCCTTATCTTTGTTTTCGTGTCTCGTTTTAAACACCACGGTTGCGCAACCGGTCGCATAACCAATTTATTCTGAAGACACAAGGCCCTATGTACAGAATTTGTTTACAATACCTGGTTTGGTCTTTCTTGACCAATCTTTTGAGAAGTTTTTCCTTCGTCGAGACCCATTGCTTCTCCTCTTCAGAAGAGGAATCCTCTTCATTGTTAGTTTTAGTACTGCTACCAGGTAGAGATTTTACAGCGCTTTTCTGAGGTTGAAAAAAAATGTCTCATTGTTAAGCATGGTTATACAATTAAAAATCAATTATTTTGTTTCATAATAATCGCCTTATGTTTGGGATTACAGGCAAAGTTTAAAGGCGAACGAGTTAGCTTGTTAAAAACTGAAAACAGTCAATAAACAATGCTTTAAACTAACTACACATATAAAGAAGTGGGTCCCTACCCAAGGAGCAAATTGCTAATATGTTCGATATAAAAATTAATAATAATTTACCTGTTTATTTCTCGTGACAGTTCCTTCAGTTGGAGTACTATTTACATCTTCCGATATTACAACAGGGGCATGCAGTAACTTTAGTTCTTTATTCATCATCTTATCAGCAGTGAGCATTAATTCCTCTTTATCATCAGTGACCTCGTCTTTTTTCTTGTTACCTCTGCTCCTAGTTTTATAACCTTTTTCCTGTGTCTCTTCTTCTCCTTCTGCTGGCTCCTGCTTTATTTTCCCGTGATTGTCATCCGAGTCACTCTCATTTTCGTTCATTAATAGTTTCTTTGCTAGAGTATTCTCAGTGTTTCTTGTCGCCTATAAATTAGAAAGGGTTACATGTAACAGGCTTAATATTCGAGAGCCTAATTGGGACCTAGCATTATTTATTTGTATTTAAAAAATCTCAATACTAGAACCTGTGATGGAGTGATACATGTCCATAAGATAGCACACAACATAACTGGGGAGTTAAGGAAGTTTTACAAAATTTTATATTTATAACTTCTTAAAACCAAATGTTTTATTAAAATAAAATTGTTGGACAATGCGTAAGGCATTAAGTCAGCTTTTACATATACCCCCTTATTACAAAACAAGATTTATCTTTAGTCCAGGTTTAAACCATTGAGTCGGGTTTTGAATTTTGAACCTTATTGTCATCTTCAATTTGAAATAAAAAAACTGGCTCAATGGTTTAGTCCTAGACTAAAGTAAAACCTTATTTTGTAATAAGGCCGATTAGGTTTGTTTAAAAGCTCCTCAGTGGCATCCAAGTAGCAAGCAACTGCATAGTCTATCGAAGGACGTATTAGAGACTGCGCCACATGAATCCTCGTTTTTAATGGCGAGAGAGACTGGAGGTGTTTCAGTGAATGCATGGAAAAATGCATCCTATGAATAACCTGAACACCCCATGAAAGGTTACAACATTCAATATGAACGCCTAAGTTCTTCAGCATCGGTAAAGGGGATAACATAACCAGTCAAGCTCAGAGGATCGAGAGCAGAGATGCCTAGAGCGTTGCTTTAATATTTACTACTAATAATCAAAGCCTTGAACTTAGTCTTTAGTGTAAATAAACCAGATACTTATGCAAAAAATATATACATTTTCTTAAAAAATGCGAAGAGTCTTTTTCCCCAACCCATTATAAATAGACTACTTATTTATTGCCGAAATTATTGTGTTCAAATGTTATATTATTTTATTATTTATCTACTAAGTTATGACCTCACAAACTAGGTAGTATTAAAAATTTTAATAGAACTTACAACAGGTGGTGCAGTTTCATATTCAATGTTAGTTCCTTCGTCGTCGGAAGGTTCCAACTCGTGATGGTCTGAGTATGTGGGACTGTGTGATCTGCTGCTAGCGTCCAACGCATTCTCGGCCTCCTTTGGCTCCATTTTCCCATCATTTTCCTTCGATTTCAATTTATTTTTACCACGGTTATGGCTTTGATTAGTTCTGTTTAAAGAACTTAAGTTGGTCAACCTGAAAACATACATTATTGTTCATAATTTTTTTTATCTGATTTCTTATGTTACTGTATGCGGTTGAGTATTAAGAATTATTAAGAGGGTAATTTCCAACTAGTCAAATACAATACTTTTTTTACCTTGTCCGATGTAGTGTGTTGCTACGTCAAACTACTTACATGACATAATTTTTTGTATTTCATAAAAATTACATGGAAAAATATGAAATAACTTAAGATTATTTTTTGAAAAAAAAAAAATTGACTATGGAGCTCCATAATTGCAAATATTTATTTGTCTTACCTGTTTATTTCTTCGTCCTCTTTACTCTTGCTTGCAATGTCTTGATAAGCAAAATATGTTTGTACGAATGACTCCGGCAATTTTTCTAGAATAACAGAAGAACCAAGGTACAGTTTTTTATCATGACCATTCACCGGGTAGCAGTGCCAATCATGTCGAACTATAAAATTAGGACTTTCTTCTTGTTTACTTGTTGCTGTAGCTACTTTCTCAGATGTTTCTGCTGTTTTAGCTTGGTATTTTTCTCGATCGACATTCTTGTCCTTTTTAGACCGTTTTCTATTACTTAGGAGCTCATCTAACACAGGCATCGATGACTGGCCAGCTTGATTTTCTGGTAAAATTTTACCATGCACAAATTTCATATATTTATTATGAATTATGGATATTTCTTTCTGGTCAATATCTGAAAAACCAATAAAACTAGAAGCATTTTCAGCAACTTGATCAGTTGAATCCACATTGTTGCATTGTATCTCATCCTCTTTACTGGATTGAGATAGTTTAGTCTTTTCTTGTTCTTTTTTATTTCTTGACTGTACAGGTATATCTTCAGGTTCAGGGTCCGTTGTATCGCCCTCTTTTTCTTCATGATTTATTTTATCTCTTAGTCGTCTGGTGGTATGAGTAACCTCGTTGGTGCCTGGTTTATCTTTCGTTGAAACTATAGGTATGTTGCATTGTACCTCATCCTCTTTACTGCACGGAGATTGTTTTGTGTTTTCCTGTTCTTTCTTATTTCTTAACCGTACTGGTGTATTTTCAAGTTCGGAATTCAGTGAATCATCCTTTTTTTCTTCGTGATGTATTTTATCTCTTAGTCTTCTGGTCAAATAAGCAACCTCATTAGTGCTGGTTTGATCTTTTGTTGAAACTGTAGGTATTTCTTTGTTACCTTTCGGATCAGGTTTCTTCTGTTTACTCTTATGTTTTTTGTCAGCTTTCTTCTTTCCAGCCAACTTTTTATTTTTATTGTCATCTTCGTCAGAGCTGCTCTGCATTAAACTTCCTTTAGCAGTTTCTATAGTTAATGGTTCGTATGTTTGCGGTACAAGTAGACTCATGCTCATGTCATCTTCTTCGTAATCAGGTTCATGTCGTCTGTGTTCTCTAAATGCACTTTGACTGAAAATATCATCACTTACATCACATAATCCAGATATAATTTTGCTAGAAGAAACAAATTTTTCAAACACTTCTACGTCGTAACTCTTATTGCTAACTTTTGGAATGGAATCATTACTCAAGTCATCAAGACATTCTATTTTTACTTCAGGTATCATTGTCATTTCATTAGGTGCATGTATAGGTTCTATTTTTACTTGATTTAACGGATGAACATCATATGATAATTCTTCATCCATAGGTTCAATTTTGATCTGAGCAACAAGTGGCAACATTCCTTCTTCATTTTCATCACCATTAACAGTACAAGATCTGAGTTCTTGCATCTGAACTTGAGATACCCAATTAGGTTCAGATTCTGTTTCTTCAGATATAGCCTCCAAGTAATTGTCATCATCATCATAATTATTTTCATCTAACTCTTCAAAATATTCCGGTGCTATGTCATCTGCCTGAGCCTGTTCAAGACTCAAGAAAGCTTCCTCCGATAGGGTATTCACACTATTTATTGTTAAACCTTGAATCATTGTTTCGACATCAGACTGGTCTGGATTGGTCACAAATGAGCAAACATTTATATCTTCAAAGATTAATTGTTTCACATACTCGAAGGCATAAGACTTAAGAGATTGTGGATTGAAGAGATTATTACTATTATGAGATTCATGAAATAGTTGTTGTTGAATGATTTCTGAGTGTGTTGTTTGTTTGTTGTCAACCATTATATGTGTCATTACCCTGAGGCACATTTGGAATAATGTTTTTGGTATCTTGTTTGATGATAATAATTGTTCTGATACAGAGGTTGGAATTAAGTTATTGCTCTCTTCTGGTCCATTTCTGATTTCCTCATGTTTTTGATGTTTATTAGCTGAATGACACAGAAGTGCTACCACTTTTTGGTAGCAAATAGTTTTGAGTAATGGTACAGATGATACTGGACATGGGTTTGAGTGTGATACACTTCTTTCTTTCATGTTAACAGGTCTATTAGTCAGGACCCTCAGACATAGTCGGAATAATGTTTCTGGATGGTTTTTCACATTAGTACCTTCATTCTTCATGTGTTGACTAGTTTCTTTAAAAGCTGTTTTATCATTTATCTTATTGTTTGCAATCTGAATACACAATTCCGAAAGAGTTTCTGGGCATTGAACCTCAATACAATTGGGTAATAGGGACTTCATTTCAATACTTTTCTCTTTTGATGAGAATAATTGTTCTGGTAGAGAGGTTGGAATTAAATTCTTGGTCTCTTTTGTAGTGTATCTAGTTTCCTCGTATTTTGGATGTTCCTTAGGATTTCTCTTAGCTGCATAATGCAGGAATGCTACCACTTTTTGGTAGCAAATAGTTTTGAGTAATGGTACAGTACACGAGTTAATGATTTTTGAGTGTGTCACACTTCTTTCCTTGATGTAAACAGCTTTTTGAGTCAGGACCCTCAGACATAGCCGAAATAAGGTTTCTGGTTGGTTGTTCCCATCTGTAAGTTGATTTTTCATGTGTTGACTAGTTTCTGTAACAGCTGTTTTATCATTTATCTTATTATTTGCAATCCAAATACACAATTGAAGAAGAGTCTTAGGACTTGTTACTTTAGCAATGTAAGGTATTTGCTTAATATCATGATTCATTTGTGAAGTACTGGCATTATTTTCTGGGCTAATTCCAACATTTGCAGAGTAATCATTATTGCATTGACCTTGTTTTACAACAAAATAATTACACACAGATTCTTGGGTTACATTCAACCATGTTGTGGTTATAAAAGGAGCACAAATAGAAATAGCTCTTTGACGGGAATAATTCTTGAAAAAATCACTTACCATTTTTGTGGTAATTTTATTATCAGGAGGTTTTTTATTTCGGCTGTCCTGGGCTAAAAAAGACTGTGTAGGCTTTACTTTCTTTACCATTACTGTGTCGTTAATCCAAACTGCATGACGCCCTTTGATATTAAGAGTTTTATTTTCAGTTGGTTTTTTTGCAATTTTAATGGAAAGTTCTTTGTTGAGAAACACTGTTTTGGGATTAAATTTCGGTGTTTCTTTGGATTTATTTACAGGAGTCGATACTGTCGGTTCGTCCACAATTTCACAGTCACTATCACTTTCTTTTTTCGAAGAGGGTACTATTTCTTTCTCAACTTCCCTACACTGTGTTAAGTTATGGGTTTCTAAAAATTTTTCATATTGTATTTCTAAATCCTCTTCCATCTTTTCAAGATTATGTTTCGCTAATTTAAATAATAAGAACGACTTTCGTACACAGTAATCCATTTTCATGGTGTCGGTAACATGGGTGGTATTAATTTTCTTTTTCATAAAATCTTCAGATTTTTCTATCATTAATGACCCTAACTCAGACGTCATTTTCACAATACCATTGAGGAATGAACATGCACTTTTCGATTGCTCAGATGTTAAATCAACATTTATCTTCATCTTGCTTTCAAATGGTGATTTAGTTTGCACAAAGGTAGATTTAGTCTCTGTTTTATTGGTTTGTGACCACATTTCTACACTTTTCTTGGCGTCTGGATCGATTGTAGGTATTTCAAGGGTCTTATTCTCACCTGAATCTGCAGCAGAAACTTTCTTTATTTGTATATTAGTACCCTGTATTTTTTTGGCAATAAAATGTTCAAACTCGTTAATACATCCCCAAGTTTTAGATTGTGTTGATGTTTGTGATTGATCTTCATCATTAGCTGGGTTTGGCAAACATATCTCAATGTCACTTGACTGCGAAGTAGGAGCTGGTAAACATATTTCTACATCACTTTCTTTATCTTGATTCAATTGCTTCTGCTTTCCCTTTTTTCTTGGAGACCGATTTTCAGACTTTTTACGCAACTTTTTCTTCTTTGGTTTTTTCCCTGTTTCACCTATTAGTGCTTGTGCTTCACTGTCAGTTGAATCAATATCTTTATTTCCTCTTCTGCCAGGTACATATTCATCATCAGAGTAATATCGGTTACCTTTCCTTCTCCGTGGTTCATCATCATCAGATAGCTCAATATTAGCAAAGGGATCTTCATCAGAGCCTTCATCATAACGTAACTTAGGAACTTTTCTGCGGACAGGTCTTTTAGATGTGTCTTCCACAAGTTCAGAATTTTCAGTATTTTCTTCAGCAGCTCTATTTTCTAGGTCCATGATTTTGTCAATATTATATTCAAAGTCAGCCATTACCGGCATTTTATTATTCCGTTTTTTCAGGTGGACATCATCACCATTATTGCTTTCTGTATCAAGAATTACAACATCTTCCGTAGCTGAGAGTTTAACTGTGCTATTATTTTCAGTGTTATGCAGCAAATTCTGATCAATTAAATCTGGTTTATTGATAGTTATGATATCTTTACTATCAGAATCCTGAGACTTCTCATTATTAGTAACTTTATTTGCTGTCAAATTAATTACTGCTTGACCTTCATTGGGCAAAGGTTCAATAAGATCAGTCTCAAGTTTTTCTACTTCAGCTTGTAATTTGTTTAAATTATTTTTAATTTTACCACACAGGTTAGACAGATCAGTATTTTCAGTTTTAGCACACATGGCATTTTCACTTATATGTTCATCCTGAGTTACTTTTTCATGAGTTTTTAATTTACTTAAACAAATATTATCAAGCTCGTCATTAGAAGAATCGTCACTATCAATTTTTATACCTGATTCAGCAGTTTTGTTAAAAATATTTTTCTCCAAATCTGTTTGTGTTAAATCTGATTGTTCATTTTGTATGATGTCAGAAGATTGTGAGCTATTTAAATTTTCAATGTTTGCATCTCTTAATTGATTGTTTTTGTCATTTGTGAGGCTGGAAAGACTTAAATCATTTTTGTTTTTTCTTGGCCTACCTTTCCTCCGAGTTGGTGTTGTATTGCTAATTTTGTCAGTAGGAGGTGTTATAGCGATGGCCTCACTTGTGATGGATGTTTTTCTTGGCCGACCTCGCTTTCTTTTAACCATAGTAGTAAGTAAGTCAGAGTTATCTAGGTTAGAACTTAATGGAGGTTTAGAAATAACTGAACACTCTTGACCCATTCCTGAACATTCATTACCTTCAGAGGTTTGTGATATAGACTTTCTTCCTCTTTTTTGGGGTGGAGTATTACTGCCAACAACTGATTCTTCTTTAGGTTTTAATTGTTCTTCACAACTTTCTCTTGTACCGAGAATGATCACATTACCGGAGCCGGCAGGGATGTTATTTACCGTATTTTCTTTCTTTTTCCTACCTCTTCTGGTTGCTGATTGTGGTTTACGCGGCGAAATTGTAAGATTTAGGTTGGTTTTGTTTTTATCAAAATCGCTGATGTTTTCATAGTTTTCCGAGGAAGAAACACCTAATGTCTCTTGACCTAATGAAGATTCTACATTTTCAGTGTTGTTGACAGAACTGTTTACTTCATTTTTAGTACTCACAGTGTCGCAACGAATAACATTCTCGCCGGGATCAGGTTCCTTAGGTTGCACTGATGCTTGAATAGGCAGTGTAATATATTCCTCTTCCTGATACATTGAAACAGCTTGAAATTGTTCAAATGCATCCTCAGGTATACAGAGGTTGTTCGAAATGGAATTCGAGTCTTCAGACATATTGTTCAAATGTTCAGGAATTAACAAAGTCTAACTGTTACGTCTTAATATTAACACCGCAAATTAATAAATTCCGGCTTACTACCACAATCATTTTTCATTATTTGATAAAATAAAGGAATTTTAATCAAGATTTTTTGTTGTTAGCATTGAACTGCTAGAAACTCAGTGTTGCTAAATAATTATTTACAACCATAATTCTAGGGAACGCTCATTCAGCCAACCCCAGGCCAGTGATGAGAAACGGGGTTGCTATTTATAAAATTGTGGCATAATGCGGCCCATGCAGGCCGCATAGTATGCGGCCTGCATGGGCCTGTATGCGGCGCATACAGGTCCATTTTGACAACATGCGGCCTAGTATTGTGCGTGTAATGTATTTTGACATTTTTTTATTACTTAAGATGATTGAATAATGAGTGTTGGGTAGGCATGCTCCATCGTAGGTCACATAGTTCGCTTATCGTTAAGCGTTATTGCGGCCAAATGACTGCCTATTTCGAAACAAAAAATCATTCTCTAGAGGATCAAAATATTGCTCATCTCTAACTAACTATTAGTTAACTGAGCTATTTAGCTTCAAGTCTCGGAATTTATTTATTTATTTGATTTGTAAATGCCGACCGGTTTTCAACCTCGTTTTTTATGTACTAGAAAGGAAAGGAAAAATGAAAATTCAATCATTTGTTGGAAATAACTGTGATTGAGTGAGTTTTTTCATCGTGTGGTATGAAAGTCGTATAGTTTTCCGTTTTTAACTTCATTATATATTTTTAATTATTCGAAAAATGAGTCGAAGTCGCAGTTCGTGATTGATCTAATGTCAGAAATACTTAGTTACTGAACGAACGCTCCTATTTCATTTTATGCAACTGACTGATTTGGCGGTGACATTAATTTATTGACATTACAGTGGCGAATTGTGTTGACGTTCTTGGGAGCTTTATTAATTTTTTAATATCAATTCATATCAGAATATCTTAGTTTATTTTTAAATAAGTTACAAAATCTGAAAAGAGTGTCAATTGTAAAATCATATTACTTGTAAGAGTGGCAAATGTTTCACAGTCAAAATGTACTTTCCAATAGGTTGGCCCAAAGTTCTGAAAAATCTGGGAGCAGATAATCAAATTATAAAGCAAATCGTGTCGAATAGAGACAAGATATTATTTGCATCTTTGAGTGATGACTGTTTAGCTGTATGGTTTTGTAAGGTGGGTATTATTTTTGTATAAACATCGAGGTCCTAAATAACGAACTACGTTAGTTCCACCTATATAAACAGGGCACAGTGATATTGTTACGCTTGTACTAGTTATGACTTGGTACACGACTAACTTGTCATTTCTTATCCTATACATGATTAAAAAAATAACATAAATGTTATTTTTATCTGTCAATCAAAACTTGTATTTGTGTTATCAATTTATCATTTTAATCATAATACATGTTCAGTTCAGCTGTTCTCATCCTTACATGCTTGTTTGTGAATAACTAACAGTATAGTTTCTGTTTTGTGTTACTATATATATATAACATAACAATCAGACTTCATCTCTTTCTTATCTACTAGAAGCGACAGATTGAAATATAATTACTTAAGTTACCTAAATTGACAAAGCATGTTTTCAATTAATTTCTAGAAACTCACATTTACCCTCTCTCATCTAGTTCATTATGTAGTAGTAGACCCTGAATTTGTTGTTTCCCTAAATTATCTAAGTATTAGAATGTTTATCCTAAGATTGACAAATATAAAAAATATTTAATGGCATATTATTTATTATTTATTTAGATGAAACTATAAATAAATGTAATATACAGTAATGTATCCTTTTTCAGCCAAGTGTCCCCATTGTGTACCATAAGAGGAGTACAGAATCTCTTCAAAGACTTGGAGTCAATGTTGGAGTGGAATGGAAACCTGATTCTTCTATGATATGCATCTCTGTAAGTATAAAAATGCTTTGGCTGACATTTCTGTGTTAGGTGTTGTAGTATTTACAATTGCTGACAAGTCTTTTGCTAACATTAGTGAATATAATGTATTAATTATGCGCTGAGAGACTGGATTTTCAGCTAGTTTATGTTCTGAGATATAAAATTATATAAGGTAAACATTTTTTTTTGCTTTTGTCTGTCAATCAAAATAATATGCTGGTGAGCCTGGATATTAATATGGTTAAAAAGTTACCAAATATTTTCTAATTGTTATACAAAATAACATAAAACATCAGCTAAGTCAGCACATGGAGATGACTAGCAATTTTGGTGGTAAAGAGTAGAAATACCAACCCAACTTTAAACAAATTTTCTATGATAAGTTTGTAAAATTATTTTATTTATTACAGACCTCAGAAGGCCATCTTATACTGTACAATGTGGAAGCTCACAGCGAACAGACAGCATACCAGCAATATGACCCACCCACTGCAAGCTTACGTCGGGACTCTGCCGAATTATTTGTAAAAGAGGTCATACCATCACTGAAAATTACTCTTGTAAGTATTATAGTTAAATAGTAAATATTTTTTGGCAAGTTTTCTTTGTGAGACACAAATATTGTACTAATTCCTCTGAGAGGTAAATAATATAAGGATTTCTTGGGATTGTGACGAATAAAGACATCAGAGAATAGGTTTTTACCAAACAGAAAAAAAACATTCATGTATTAATTTGCCAAAACTCATGAGTTCATGACACTTAAAACAAGAATAAAGATTTTTTTAAAAGTAGAACAAACATTAGAACAATAACTGAACACTTCACAATAAAATAGTATTAAAAAAAACACAATCATGATTGGTATCAGTGTGCATGGTACATGTCCATGTACACATACACATAAGGTAACTTTCTCATGTTATCAAAATATTGACTGTTTAGGTATATATTCAACCGGTAGTTATGAGAAAGATAACTCATGATGTATGAAATATGTATAATTTATAGCATTGGGCCACATACTCAGTGATAAAAAAAAACTATTCATTATTCACAGTACATACTCGTTTCGGTTAGGTTGGCTTAATTCATTATAATTTATGCAATGATGCAATAAAGATATGGAAACATTTTATTGTAATTATTAGCTTTCTTTTACTGATAATTAAATTGTTTATGCTGAGAGAGAGAATTTTATATGTACTTCTTACTATTTCTTATACAACTTCTGTAAAATTGTAATTTGAGTGTTCCATTTCATTTACCTGACATATCTAAAGATACTCAAGCAGTTTGTTTACGTTGTTCACTAATATTTTTTATTAGTTTTATTGTACAGGTTTTCTAAAATGCTGAACATTAGACATGATTTTTGATATATATAAAATATGCTGACAAAAAAACTTAACTGCATCCAGTTAGAATAAGTACCTAAGTTATTTCAATGGAAATTGTAATTCAATAAACATGCATTGTTTCAGTTGAAAGAGGTTTTAGTATGGGATGGGCAGATCACACGGATGTGCTGTATATCAGGCACAGAGATTCTGGTATGCACCACCAGAGCTCACCTACTGCGGTATCGATGGGACGGTACGCAAAACCGGGATTACTGTCTAGACTTAGGAAGAATACCCTTTTCCATCAACCAACAGGTTTCTAAAGGTGATTATTTTCTTTGTTGTATCTACAAAAATGGGTCAGTGGCTAAATGTCCCCAAAAGGTCGGCAACGCACTCATAACTCCTTTGGTGTTACGGGTGTCCTTGTCGGCGCCGATTGCTTACCATCACGTAATCCGTCTGCTGGTTTGCCGACTAATTCCAAAAAAAACAAAATCGTTATAAGCAAGTTGATAATGTAATTCTTTATTTGGCTTATATTTCAATCTAATCAACGTAAGGTATCGCTACCGTAATACGTAAGCGAATTTTGTGTGTCAGCATTGTGGCTTTGAAATTCACCACTGCTTTGTTTACAAACTGCTCCTTATCTTGGCTTTTGTTTATTTGCCCTAGTCAAGATTTAATATACTATTTAATAAAATTGTTTAATTTACAGCGGAGCCGATTTTAGAAGACAATACGCATGTAAATGACATAGAATATTCGCCGCTAGTGTGTGGGTTTGGGATTACTCTCAATGACGGACGGGCTGCGTATCTCACGGCTCCTAATCTCAAGTTTGATCCTAATGTAAGTATATTACCAATAAATTATTTCTTATTAATTTTGTTAAGACTGGCTGGAATGAGGGCTGTTTCGATGTGTTTGTACAGCGACTACATACCAGATCAATTTGAATATAGAACAAAAAAAAGAAAGTCGAACTGTTTGTTCAAATAAAAAAAATATTGTTGTGTTAATATAAAAAAAAATAGATCGCAATTTGTATGAACTATGTATCACGGAAGTTTATGGGTTGAAACAGGCCCTAAGGGAAGGAACCCTTCATTTTTTTAAAGATAATTTGAAAAAGAAAATATCGCCAAAAATTATAACTTCAATTATTTTTCGTATGTCTCTAATTTTAATAAATGTATTTTGACAATCCCAGATATGTTTGGACACAGATCTAATGGTAAGAAATGGAAGCGTGTGTTGTGTACATTAATGACTAGTACCTGAGCACGCTATGATTTCCCTTCGTTTCAATACGTGTGTTTATACCTCAGTAGTTATTTCCTATATAGATTACACTTTATTAATGTCCCGGCCAGATTCCTTGTGTGGTGGTGTTGCTAGGCAGAAGAAGCCTTTGTAAAAAATTAATTCTGAGACATACTAAATAATAAAAATGTATAAATGATTAACGCAAACTGTTCGAGGACCTTAATACGGTAGTTTCTAACTAGTCAAATTCAATACTTTTATCCAAACGTCAAAAAAATTTTCTATGAAATTTGTATGAAACACTGAGTTATGACGTCGTAACATTTTTGCGTCAAATAGCATGTGTTGCTCATAATTATGTTCCTCGGTCGTGGCTTGAAACTAGTCGAGCATCCTCGAACCGTTTACGTTGATAGCTATTTTAATTTTTTTTTCTACAGAATAGGATTTCTTTAAAAGTACTATTCTACTTCTGTATGATGGTTATTGAATAAGTACTATGGCAAGTATTAATTTAATATAACTTAAACATTTTCTTTTTTGTCTATTTTTAGGCTGTTCAAGGCATTTGGGCTCCCGGCATTGATGACGCGACATGCGCGAGAGTCAACCATAAGTTTAGATTAATTGCTATTGGCAGGAAAAAGTGAGTAATTTGTAATTTGTTGGATCATTATTATCTTTTGTTCTATAGAATTTGTCAATAGACCATCAGAGGTGGGGCCCAAAAGAGCTGTTCGTGTCATTCATGTTCAGATTGAGTTGCGCTATATAGTACTGTGGTCCTGGTTCATAACAAGAGAAGGAACTGATGAAGGAAGAATTTGATAATTTATCCACTTTAAAAAGTACTATAGAATTATTCAATAATCATATTTGATGAGATTCTGTGTCGTACCTAATAAAATTATACTGCATATAATTAAATGTCGATCGAATCGTCGAATGTACGCAAATCACATTCCTGATGGCATATAAAGCAAAGATATATGTATGCAGTATGTTAGAGAGCTCCGTTATCATAACCGAAACTATCGGATATCCGTAACCGAATCCGAAATGAAAGTTTCGTATAATAATTCCGAATAGTGGCGGAGCCTAATTGAGACACATCGTGTTTGTATTTTACTTTAGAAATTCCTTAAAATGTTTACCTAATTTATACGAAACTAACAAATAATCCGAAATAATTTCATGTCCGTATCCGTATCCAGTATAATAATTATTCTTATATTTGTATCCATAACATCCCTAACAAAAAGTAATAATATAACTTTGTGAAATGTTTCAGTTCTCAAGTGGACGTTTTCACGATAGACGAGGCGACGGGAGGCTTGGAGCTGTCGCATACGATGGTGCTCAGCTCCAAAGACTTCCCCGGCGACCCCGGACCTGTCAAGTGTATGAGGTAATGTATCGAACTTTATCTTTATATTGAATGTGTTTTTTAAATTAAGAAAAGTAATAGAAGAGCTATCTAATGGTGTAGTTTTTTTTTTTAGCTGATGCTAAATGTTATTACTTGTATATAGGTAATATGATACTGTACTTGTAATTCTTCACATTTGTGAAATAGTATTTATTATGTACTTTTTAAAGCTTTTTTTAAATTTTTTCTACGTACAAAATCTTCTCTGCACTTCCACAAATAATTCAAGACAAAAATTAGCCAAATCGTTGAAGTCTCTGTCGAGTTATAACATTACAATAAAAAGTGGCATTGATTTTTATATACATAGTTATATCTATAGACGTGGTTTGTAAATTATGTAAAGTTATGTATACTGTGATGCTGTACTTGTAATTCTTCTTATTTGTTAAATACTATTTAATCACAAAACCCAATAATATTTTAAACTGAATTCTCTGTTTATTTCAATGAGTTATTAGTAGGTAGGCCCAATTTGGTCTGTTAGGGAAAAACTGACTCAAATATCCGAGTGTTAAGTTTAAAATAATTAAATTTTCGCTTGTTTATATCATCCAGATGGACAGCAGACGGTCGAGCCGTAGCCATAAGTTGGGAGCGGGGAGGTGTATCGGTGTGGTCCACATTCGGTGCCCTGCTGATGTGCTCGCTGGCCTGGGACTACGGCCTCAACCAGGACCTTAGCAAGTCCAACCCTTTGGTTGTGTCCAGTTTAGTTAGTATTTTGATAATATTTTAATTTAATATACGAGGTGAAATATACTATCAGCCTATGTGTTAATCCAGGGTATCATCTATTTACATACCGAAATCAAAACAAATCGGTCCAGCCGTTTTTGCATGAAAGGATAATAAACGTACATCTATACATCTTCTCTTTTCTCTTTCGTCTGCTAGTGTAAGCTCAAATATTTGTAGGAGCACTTCTATTTTAGTAACTAGACATTTAGAGTATATGTATTATTTTATCTGTGTTTTATTATATCGTTGCAGTATCCATTTCAAGGTTGTTATTAATAAAATAAATATTTGCAAATTAGATTTTTTCTCTATTATATACACTATATACTACATTATATTTGCTATAGGAATGGGCGACTGAAGGTTACCAGCTCTGGATGGTGAAGGTGGAAGGAGATACTAGTACTAACATCATACAACTGGATTTTGTGAAGAGTCCCCTCAGTGTGAACCCTTGTATGGTAAGTTTTCAACATTGTATTATCTGTGTATGTATGTATATATACATTCGCGTGTGGTCTGAACGTATTTACATAAAAATATTGATTAACTCCTAGTTGTGTATATGGCGCTGCTATCGAATTATGTCATTCCGACATTCTTCCGGTTCCACTAGAAAATGATAATAAAACCTATATCGCTGTCTGCTATAGAATGGTCGAATATTCCAAAAGAATATCTTTACATAATGTCCGACGTTACCAACTGAATCACTACATAGTACAAAACAAAGTCGCTTTCTCTGTCCCTATATCTCTATGTATGCTACTTTAGAAGTACGAAACTGATATTGATGCGGCTTTTTTAATACATAGAGCGATTAAAGTGGAGGTTTTAAATGTCTAATAACAACCATTAAATAGTGGAGACATTTACTATCAGCTTTCAAGCCAGGGCGGATCGCTAGTGTTAGAATAGGAGTATTAATTCACAACTTATTTCCTTTCAGAGCAACCAAAGACACCTCTACCTGCAAGCAGACGACAAGCTATACGTGAACTTAGAAGACAATCTAACGAAACGTACAAAGATCTCAATCATTGACTCCTCTTCAGAAATATACCAAGCAGAGAACGGCCTGCCTGACCAGTCTACGTTGGAATATGAGAGTAGTACAAACTATAGGGAGTTTGTTGACGACAACGAGTGCAGGAAACAGTGGATAGTGTTGCCTCTACCGGCCACTTACATAGCTACTAATTGGCCGTTGAGGGTAAGTGTTATTAATGTACCTTAGTTGCTTTTAGAATGGTTTGTGGGTGGAAGGGCAGTAATTTACTGCGGTACGGTCCAGAGCAGGGGAAGGAACGGGGTAGTTTTTGTCAGTAAGATTCTGACACTCCATCTTCGCTCCATCTAGGGCGAGACGAGTCATACGGGGGCAACAATTTCGGATACCCTATTTAACTGGGTTTGAGCCAGAGTGTAAGTAAAGATGGCGGGTATAACCCGATCGATGAAAAAACGTCACAGTTTAATGTAAAATGTTCCCAGTATCTCTGCTCTACAATTTAGCAGTATTTTAAAGGCGTTCCAAGTTTGAAAATCAAACCTTTTTTAGGTTATTTTACATGTAAACAGTTGAATACATAACTAATTAAACTCGCGTCTCACGTCTCGTTGAATAGGGTGTAGACAAATTAAAAAAGCAACTTCAGATTAATGAAACAAGGAACATATTTATAGAAACGTATTTATAAACCAAGTAATATGTATCTCCCGCAGTACAGCGCTATTGACGAGGCAGGGGTGAATGTATGCGTGGCGGGGCGCACGGGGCTGGCCCACTACAACTGCGTGGCGCGGCGCTGGAAGCTCTTCGGAAACGAGGCGCAGGAGAAGGACTTCGTCGTGGCTGGCGGGATGCTCTGGTGGCGGGATTATATTGTCATAGGTCAGTTTATTTATGCTATCGGTCGGTCGGCAAACCAGCAGACGGATTACCTGATCGCAAGCAAACAGCGCCGCTCATGGACATCTGCAACAACGGAGGAGTTACGAGTGCGTTGCCGACCTTTTTGGGATTAGGGATTCGGGGATTTAGGGATTTAGTGAGGGAACGGATTAGGCCTCCGGTAACCTCACTCACACGGCGAAACAACGCTGTTTGTGTCACGCCGGTTTTCTGTGAGGCCGTGGTATTACTCCGGTCGAACCGTCAAATCGTGCCGAAACTTGACTCTCCCATACTTTTTTATGATACAAACTTTTTTGATGCATTATTCAAATTTCAATCAAATATTTAATTAATTTCTAATAAGAATTTCTAGAAGAATTTTCCATAAAGTAGCTTCTTGCTCACGTTCGTCCTAAGATTAAGTAGGTACAAGTAGTATTTTCCTAAATCTTTATATGAATTATTCCGTTCCAGGTTGCTACAGCATTCTCGACGGTCACGACGAGATTCGTTTTTATCCTCGAGATGCGAAGTTAGACAACAGGTTCGCGAAGATTGTTCGCGTGCAGTCGCAAGTGTTCGTACTGGACATCCTCGATGATCAGCTCGTGGTCTTCGGAGCTGATGCCCTGGTCACCATATACGAACTCAACTGCATTGATAATAGTAAGTGTTGACAATAATTATACAACTAAGATTTCGTTGGCCCTTGTTTGTTAAATAATAATTACTACTCGAGCGAAACCGCAGAGCGCAGCTATTGTTATAATAGGTAAAGGGATATGAAGATAAAGGGAAAGTTTCTTTACATTTTTAAGGAAATTCAAAACATATTTTTTTTAGGTTCACTTATCTTGACCGTACTGTCATATTATAAACAAATGAAAATCACTCATATTTCTTATTCTAATTTGGAATTATGTCCTTTAAAATTTAAAATTTCAATGATACCAAATCCAGCCAGATACAAAATAGCACACCAAAAGACATTTTATTACAAGTTCATACTTACTATAATGCGAAAAGATTTTTCACCATCCGAATATATTGGGGACATAGCTGACAGTATATGCTTGCACAGCGGGTACGATAGAGATGCGCTGCGTGCAGGCAGTGGACGTGTCGGCGCTGTCGCACCCCGCGTGCGTGGTGGTCAATGACTAGTGTTATATATTGGGGACATAGCTGACAGTATATGCTTGCACAGCGGGTACGATAGAGATGCGCTGCGTGCAGGCAGTGGACGTGTCGGCGCTGTCGCACCCCGCGTGCGTGGTGGTCAATGACTAGTGTTATATATTGGGGACATAGCTGACAGTATATGCTTGCACAGCGGGTACGATAGAGATGCGCTGCGTGCAGGCAGTGGACGTGTCGGCGCTGTCGCACCCCGCGTGCGTGGTGGTCAATGACTAGTGTTATATATTGGGGACATAGCTGACAGTATATGCTTGCACAGCGGGTACGATAGAGATGCGCTGCGTGCAGGCAGTGGACGTGTCGGCGCTGTCGCACCCCGCGTGCGTGGTGGTCAATGACTAGTGTTATATATTGGGGGCATAGCTGACAGTATATGCTTGCACAGCGGGTACGATAGAGATGCGCTGCGTGCAGGCAGTGGACGTGTCGGCGCTGTCGCACCCCGCGTGCGTGGTGGTCAATGACTAGTGTTATATATTGGGGGCATAGCTGACAGTATATGCTTGCACAGCGGGTACGATAGAGATGCGCTGCGTGCAGGCAGTGGACGTGTCGGCGCTGTCGCACCCCGCGTGCGTGGTGGTCAATGACTAGTGTTATATATTGGGGGCATAGCTGACAGTATATGCTTGCACAGCGGGTACGATAGAGATGCGCTGCGTGCAGGCAGTGGACGTGTCGGCGCTGTCGCACCCCGCGTGCGTGGTGGTCAATGACTAGTGTTATATATTGGGGACATAGCTGACAGTATATGCTTGCACAGCGGGTACGATAGAGATGCGCTGCGTGCAGGCAGTGGACGTGTCGGCGCTGTCGCACCCCGCGTGCGTGGTGGTCAATGACTAGTGTTATATATTGGGGACATAGCTGACAGTATATGCTTGCACAGCGGGTACGATAGAGATGCGCTGCGTGCAGGCAGTGGACGTGTCGGCGCTGTCGCACCCCGCGTGCGTGGTGGTCAATGACTAGTGTTATATATTGGGGACATAGCTGACAGTATATGCTTGCACAGCGGGTACGATAGAGATGCGCTGCGTGCAGGCAGTGGACGTGTCGGCGCTGTCGCACCCCGCGTGCGTGGTGGTCAATGACTAGTGTTATATATTGGGGGCATAGCTGACAGTATATGCTTGCACAGCGGGTACGATAGAGATGCGCTGCGTGCAGGCAGTGGACGTGTCGGCGCTGTCGCACCCCGCGTGCGTGGTGGTCAATGACTAGTGTTATATATTGGGGGCATAGCTGACAGTATATGCTTGCACAGCGGGTACGATAGAGATGCGCTGCGTGCAGGCAGTGGACGTGTCGGCGCTGTCGCACCCCGCGTGCGTGGTGGTCAATGACTAGTGTTATATATTGGGGACATAGCTGACAGTATATGCTTGCACAGCGGGTACGATAGAGATGCGCTGCGTGCAGGCAGTGGACGTGTCGGCGCTGTCGCACCCCGCGTGCGTGGTGGTCAATGACTAGTGTTATATATTGGGGACATAGCTGACAGTATATGCTTGCACAGCGGGTACGATAGAGATGCGCTGCGTGCAGGCAGTGGACGTGTCGGCGCTGTCGCACCCCGCGTGCGTGGTGGTCAATGACTAGTGTTATATATTGGGGGCATAGCTGACAGTATATGCTTGCACAGCGGGTACGATAGAGATGCGCTGCGTGCAGGCAGTGGACGTGTCGGCGCTGTCGCACCCCGCGTGCGTGGTGGTCAATGACTAGTGTTATATATTGGGGGCATAGCTGACAGTATATGCTTGCACAGCGGGTACGATAGAGATGCGCTGCGTGCAGGCAGTGGACGTGTCGGCGCTGTCGCACCCCGCGTGCGTGGTGGTCAATGACTAGTGTTATATATTGGGGGCATAGCTGACAGTATATGCTTGCACAGCGGGTACGATAGAGATGCGCTGCGTGCAGGCAGTGGACGTGTCGGCGCTGTCGCACCCCGCGTGCGTGGTGGTCAATGACTAGTGTTATATATTGGGGGCATAGCTGACAGTATATGCTTGCACAGCGGGTACGATAGAGATGCGCTGCGTGCAGGCAGTGGACGTGTCGGCGCTGTCGCACCCCGCGTGCGTGGTGGTCAATGACTAGTGTTATATATTGGGGGCATAGCTGACAGTATATGCTTGCACAGCGGGTACGATAGAGATGCGCTGCGTGCAGGCAGTGGACGTGTCGGCGCTGTCGCACCCCGCGTGCGTGGTGGCGGCGCAGCTGTGCCGGCTGCAGGACCCGCCGCACCGCCCGCGCGCCTCCACCGTCTGCGTACCCGTGCAGAGGCAGCCCGACTCACTGGTAAGACAACAACAATAAATATTCTAATCAGAAAATCTTGGTCTCGCCATCACCATAATCATATTAGCTATTCATCTCCGACATACGTACAACGACTATTTGACAGATTGGGAAATTTGTCATAAATCTAAAGTTGCTATAGTGTATTTCGCAATAGTAATATGTGAATGATGATATCAGTGTTAACTTTTAACCACTTTTAACTACAAAGCTTTTTTGTGTGGAGTTAGACTATTGATCAAACCAAGCGATAGATTAGTAGACTAAAGTGGCACCGGCGTGACTGAAAGCAGCCTTCATCGCATATCATCTGTGTCATTGAAGCAGCCTTCATCGCATATCATCTGTGTACTGTAAAACAAAATATCTACCCAATCTTTGCTATAAATCTCCAAAATTTGTTGCACAATTGACTTTTTGATGTGAATTCACTGAGAAGAGCTCTACTAGTTTTGAGTCACAATGGGACTCTTATTTCTGAGCAGCTTGCGCGGGGCAACGTTTTTATAAAGAGAGAAAAATATCTAATACATTGTCATTATTTTCAGGTGATCAACGCCAGCGGCAAGCTGATGATGGTGCAGAGAGAAGAGTATGATGTCGATGAAGACAACAATCCGGTGAGTCAAATTTACGTATTATTATTATTATTGCCTTCATAAGCAAAATAACGAATTTTAAACTTCAAATACTACTCAAACGCTTCTAAATTTTAAGATAAATTTTACATACAATTCATTTGTTTAGACAACATTTTATCAGTTTTGTTCCTATGATCATTAAGTGTGGGAGAGTCATGCTTCGGCACGAATGGGTCGGCTCGACCGGAGTGATACCACGGCCTCACAGAAAACCGACGTGAAACAACCACAGTGTTGTGTTTCGCCGTGTGAGTGAGGTTACCGAAGGCCTAATCCTTCCCCTCCCCCGGTCCCTCCCCAACCCCTTAATCTCCAAAACCCTAATCCCTAAGAGGTCGGCAACGCACTCGTAACTCCTCCGTTGCGGGTGCCCATGGGCGGCGCTGATTGCTTACCATCAGGTAATCCGTCTACTCGTTTGCCGATCTATTACATAAAAAAAAACTATATGTACAAGTCAATTGGTGGAAGATATCTGCTTGAAATTCAGTTGCAAGATTCGAATTTATAAACGTCACAACGACATAAAATAATGTCCATACAACTGCTTTGTGGAAAACAAAGATGGCGCGATATTTAAGAACAATTTGAAATTAAGTAATATTTCAGTATTTTACATTTCGTTTATATTATTGTAATTTTGGTTTCATTGTTCTGAAGATTTGTATAGGTGTTAGATCAACAGAGAAGGAAAAGTGTTCATGTAATATTTAGATAACTACTTTTATTAATGGTAATCCGCATAACTAGTCGCAGTGCTAGGCTATTAACCTGCCAAAGCCGTCAACTTATGTATTTGTGTGAATAATAGGAGTCTAGTCTAATGTATTACAATGTATGCCGTTACTTACATAACGTCTTATTGCACTGGAAATCCGAATACTTGGATAGATGTGTTTCATGCGAAACAACTAATTAACTACTTTGTGTAGTTATGTATTGAAAACGCTTACATTACAAGCTAATGCGCGTGTCATTGAACATTCGGCACGCATAACTAAACAAACTCATTTCATGCACCACACACACACACTGACCCATTAAAACAAGTTCCTTCGTAAAAAAAGTATTTATTCAGGTACACTTCGTTGCTTTGGATTATACCAATCAAACTTAACTTCTATCATGACCTATGTGTATTTTTGCACGAACAATCATATGCAAGAACACACTAGCGCCGTGAGTAACTAAATAGGTTACCTATACACGGAGAAGTTAGTTATAGGAAATTATTTACATTTGAAACTTAAATTATTTTAATGATGCTTGACGGTTCTGATGGTGAGCGTTTTACCGTCCAGTGAGATGGGGCCCGCTGCCCAGCGGCGGACGATGTTTCCCTTGTGACCATAAGAAGTGCCCGATAGATGTACCCACGGGCCAGCCGGGGGCAATGGGTAGAAGGGCAGGATGTCAAACGTGGGCACTGGAGCGATCACTGGCGGGGTGTCGATCACTGGGGTTATGATGGGCTGGTGATGAACTTCCGCTACTGGCGTAATCTCGTGAACTGGAGCAATTGGAGCAATGTGGAGTGGTTCAATATGTCCGATAGGGCCGATGTGTCCATGATCAATGGTTTCAACCACAGGCTTAGCTACTATCGGTGCTGCAACCGGGAGCGCTATGGAGTGTACGTTGGGTCCCGTACGTTTCACCACAGCATTGAATCCAGTGAGAGAGTCAGCAGTGTACTCTACTAAACGGACATTGCCATCGGGTTCCACCAAGGAGTATGCTCCTCGCACCACGTCGCCATTGCGGGTCTCCCACTGCGCCTTATTGTCGCCCGTCGACGGGTCGTTTACCGCATAGTTGAATCCGTAATTTGGGTTCGGCTGGAACGAGTATTTTCAATATTAAACACAAACCCCCACATTACAACTTGCGTGCAAGATAAATCGTGTTGATTTATCTTTAGTCTAGGCTTAAAACATTGAGTCAGGTTTTGAATTTTAAATCTTATTATCACCTACCTTCCATTCGCAATACAAAAACTGGCTCAATAGTTTAGACCTAGACTAAAATAATAACATTGTTTTAAAATAAGCCAGAAAGATTTAGTTTGTTGATTGTAATAAGCCAGAAAGATTTAGCTTTTATGTTGAAAAATATCAGTATGGGTCTTTTACTCACAATTTTATCTATAGTGGCAATGGGAACGTATGACAGCGTCGGAGGCGGTATCGCAGAAGCGACCGCGAACAAAGCCACCAGGCAGGAGACCTGAAAACACAATACATTTACATAAGACAACGTTGAATGACTTTCTTCTTCCTAAAGAGACATTTAAGATCAATTTTGGATAAAGTACAAAATCTGTTCTCTACACATACACATGTAAGAGACAATGACGATTAACATTTTTTCTAGAAGTTGGTCGAAAACAAAAACGAGACATTAATCTCTTACAATTCCAAACATTAGACTCCCGTTTAAGGTTCCTTCAGCCTAAGTCTTAGGGTTCATTTTATGTTACTAACAAGATCTGAGTAAAATAAAATGAATCCGGAAGGGAGTTTTTACCGTAATATGCATGTTCATGTTGCTGACAAGGTATTCCAGTGAGCAGACGAAGTGCACTGTCCTTTGTCACTAACCACCTGCCTATTTATACTACACTAATTATACGACCCGGCAGTGCCCCGGTTACTGTCAAACATCTTGTTTTGAGCCGGTCCGTTTAAGTTCTTTTTGCCCGATTTAGTATTCATAAATAGTTGTTCGGTTAGGCGTATACTGTGATTAACTAATGAGTTAATTGGGGTTGATTATGAGTGTGAGTGATGTGTCGGTTGCCTTTTTGTTCGCGATTGTTCTTTTCATATGTTGAACTACTAACACCTAAAACTCCTCTGGGAACTCCTTTGGCTCGACCGAAGTAATACTACGACCTCACAGAACACTGGCGTGAAACAACCACAACATTGTGTTTCGCTGTGTAAGTGAGGGTACCGGAGGCCAAACGGTCTGCACCCTCCTAATTCCTCTCTAATCCCAAAATCTTCAAGACCCTTATGAAAAATGCCGGCAACTCGTAACTCCTCTGGATTTGCAGGTGTCCAATAGGCGGCGTCAAATGCTTCCAAAACCTGTCCTATCATATAAAAAAACACAGATGGTGGGTGCAAGCGCAGTGGTGTATCGCGTATCGGCACGAAGCAGAAGGAATTTGGATGGTTTTAGTAGTCAAGAGTCTGACACTCATTCGTCATCATCATCATTGGATAATATACAAGTGTAATGATCAGAAATAATCTTTTCTCACTTTTGGCGAAGTGAGAGTTTTTGTTTGACTCTTACTGACTAAGAACCCCCCGTTCCTTCTCCTGCTCCAGGCCGAAGCCGCGCTACATTATTGCGCTTAACCCGCAACGACTAACGCTTCTAAAGCTAAGAAAGATGAGTTGGAACCATGGCTTTGTTCATTCAGAAATCACTGTAAAACTACTTTAAAACTTAATATCCCGTCGCTGCGTTTCAAAGAATACTTACTAATTCACGTACATCACATCTCGCGATCGACATTTCGGGAGAGCCATGATTCGGCACCACGTCGGCACGAATGTGCTAGACCGGAGTCGTCACAGAAAACCGGCGTGAAGCAGTACGTTGTGTTTCGTCGAATAAGTGAGGTTACCGGATGTTGAATCCTCCCCACACTAATGTGTCCTCAAATCCCCTATCCGTAAATCCCTAACAACCCACAAAAGCCGACGTCTTAGTAACTCCTGTGGTATTGCGAATGTCCATGAGGCGGCACTAATTGCTTACTATTAGGTAATCAGTCTGCTCATTTGCCGACCTATAATACCCAGAGAACCGGAAGACCCGGAACAACAATTTATGGATTACACAAACCGTTCTACATTTGTGCGGGAATCTCAACCGCGATAGTTTATGTAACCGGTTACCTAGTGACAAATGATACTGGCTTGATATACTGCAGTCATTGAAGGTCAAGATATTACACCTGTCAGTGTCTCCACTGTATTTTCTATTCCGTGCCTCCAGTCTTAACATTCACAGACTAGCTCTTGCCCGCATTTTTGGTATAAAAACTATACGTATATATGGGATGTAAGGGGGAAAATACTATCTTAGTGCCCCAGTCAACCTCACCTGCTCGTTGTGCATCCTGCTGATTAACGAACGAGGCTCTGGCGACCGACTCATGGCGGTATAACCATAAAATGTAGGCGTAGACAAATTCAGCAGACTAGTGTCGGGCAGCAGCGTCACTAGTGCGAGGAGCTACGCCCTGCGATCACCAACCCGCCTGCCCAGCGTGGTGATTACGGGCATTACCTCTAATGGCACGCCTAACGAAACGGCCCCCAGTTCCCGGTCGCCCCGCTATTCTTGGCCAAGTCGGCGGTCATAGTAACGGCGGGGTAGGGGGTGCTAAGAATCTCCGGGCTATGAAAGGCCGACAACACCAACTGACTCTGGCTACGTATAACGGACGCACGCTACGGCTCGATGAACATTTGGCACAGTTAGAGGTGGAGCTAGAAAACGTGAGGTGGCATATCCTGGGGTTATGTGAAGTCCGAAGACAGGGAGAGGATACCGTAACTTTGGAGTCTGGCCACCTCATGTACTACAGGGAAGGAGACCAACCATCACAGGGTGGCGTCGGGTTTTTGGTCCACAGATCTCTGTCAGACAGCGTTGTTGAGGTCTCCAGTGTGTCAGCAAGGGTAGCGTACCTTGTGATCAAACTCACCAAGAGGTATAACCTAAAGGTCATCCAAGTGTACGCACCTACCTCGACATACTCGGATGATGAGGTAGAGGAATTGTATGAAGACATTTCCAGGGCCTTACACACCACCCAAAAGGCCCATTTCAACGTTGTCATGGGAGACTTCAATGCTAAAGTGGGAGTACAGACTAGCGGCGAGTCGGTAGTAGGACCACATGGTTTTGGAAGCAGGAACCATAGGGGGCAAATGCTCGTTAACTTCCTGGAAAAAGAGGGGCTATTTTTGATGAACTCCTTCTTTAAGAAGCAGCCCCAACGGAAGTGGACGTGGCGGAGCCCCGACGCTATGACAAAAAATGAAATAGACTTCATTATGACGGACAAGAGACGAATATTTAGAGATGTCTCAGTGATCAATAGGTTTAATACCGGAAGTGATCACCGACTTGTGCGAGGCACTCTAAACATCAAATATGACTCCGAGCGTGTCCGTCTCATGAAGTCTACGCTCCGACCAAACTTGCTCCAAGCCGTGGTTGGGTCTGAAACATTTCAGTTAAAACTGGAAAACCGATTTGCTGCCTTGGAAACCACAAATGACATTGATATCGACCAGGAACTTGACCAAACAGTAGGGATCCTCCGAGACGAAGGGACGAGATTATGGCGGAAGCAGAATACCGGCAGGGGCGCCAAGCTTTCGGGAGAGTGCCTACAGGTTATGGAGAGGCGACGTAACAACCCATCAGTCGCTTCGTCAGATCTTAATAAAAAGATCTCAAAGCTGATAAGACGTGATCTCCGAAGCGCCAATACTCGCGCTATAAAAGAAGCGATTGAGCGAAACCGGGGGTCAAAAGTCTTCAGCCAGCAATTAAATCGAAGCCATCTGACGAAGTTGACCACACCGGATGGTAATATCGTCTCTTCTAAGCCGGAAATTCTCGAGGAGGTTCGGCGCTTCTACGGTGATCTGTACACCTCAAAAGCACCGCGTCCATATCGAGACTCGGGGGATCCTAGGGCCACACTTATCCGCCACTTTACCGAAGACATGCCAGAGATCAGCCAAGACGAGATTGCGTTGGCTTTGAAGCAGCTTAAAAATGGAAAAGCCCCCGGAGAGGATGGAATTACAACGGAGCTCCTAAAGGCCGGTGGAAAGCCAGTGCTTGAGCGACTTAAACGCTTGTTTGATTCCGTTCTATTCTCGGGGAGAACTCCAAGGGCGTGGGGCAAAAGTGTCGTCATTATGTTCTTTAAAAAGGGAGACAAAACCCTTCTGAAGAACTACCGACCTATTTCTCTTCTGAGCCACGTCTATAAGCTGTTTTCCAGGGTCATAACAAATCGTCTCGCGCGAAGACTCGACGAGTTTCAGCCCCCTGAGCAGGCCGGGTTCCGAGGGGGATATGGTACCGTGGACCACATACATACAGTGAGGCAGATTGTACAGAAAACCGAAGAGTATAATCTGCCCTTATGCCTGGCGTTTGTGGACTACGAGAAAGCCTTTGATACTGTCGAAACCTGGGCTGTTCTGGAGTCCTTGCAACGGTGCCAAGTCGACTGGCGTTATGTTCAAGTGTTGAGAGATCTATATGATGCTGCCACTATGGTCGTTCAAGTACAGAACCAGCAGTCTGAACCTATCCACCTGCATCGGGGCGTAAGACAGGGGGACGTTATTTCCCCCAAACTGTTTACTAATGCTTTGGAGGATATGTTCAAGACGCTGCGCTGGAAAGGCCGGGGCCTAAATATTAACGGCAAGTATCTCTCACACTTGAGATTTGCAGATGACATTGTAATCGTGGCTGAAACCGTGCAGGACTTACAATATATGCTGAACAGCCTGGCTGATTCCTCTGCTCGCATCGGACTCCGGATGAACCTACAAAAAACGAAGGTCATGTTCAATGAACATGTTCTCCCGGAGCCGATCACCATCAATGGATCTCCTCTCGAGGTTGTTCAAGAGTACGTCTACCTCGGGCAAACTATCCAGTTCGGTAGAAACAACTTCGAGAGGGAGGCTCGTAGGAGGATACAGCTTGGCTGGGCAGCGTATAGGAAACTCAGTCGGGTATTCTCGTCAAAGATACCGCAAAGCCTGAAGACAAAAGTCTTCAATGAGTGCGTCCTACCAGTGATGACATACGGAGCCGAGACGTGGACACTTACAGTGCGACTGATCCACCAATTTAAAGTCGCTCAGCGAGCTATGGAAAGGGCTATGCTTGGAGTCTCTCTGAAGGATCGTATTCGAAACGAGGTGATCCGACAGAGAACTAAGGTTATCGACATAGCCCAAAGGATTAGCAAACTTAAGTGGCAGTGGGCAGGTCACATCTGTCGAAGAACCGATGACCGATGGAGTAAACGTGTTCTAGAGTGGAGACCACGTCTAGGCAAACGTAGTGTAGGGCGCCCTCCAGCTAGGTGGACTGACGACATCCGCAGGGTGGCTGGCAGTGGTTGGATGAGAAGAGCTGAACATCGAGCTCAGTGGCGTGCAATTGGGGAGGCCTATGTCCAGCAGTGGACGACAACAGGCTGATGATGACTATGTCCTTTCTCGAGTTCTAAACTATGTCTGTACCCAATTTCACAGAAACCGGTTCAGTAGTTTAGGCGTGAAGAAAAGACAGATAGACAGACACACAGAGTTACTGTCACATTTATAATGTTAGTTTGGATGTACCGATACAGATTGACACAACTTATCCCATTCTTAAAAAAATGTGAATGGCGACCTGTCTAACCTTGTGCTCTTAGTACATTTAAGTGAGAGCCATGCTAGGGCACGCATGGGTCGGTTATTTGACCTTGAATTACCAAAATTCCTTATCCCCATAATGTTGGCAACCTTGCAACCTCTGGCCCCTTATTACAAAACAAGATTTATTCTTTAGTCCAGGTTTAAACCATTGAGTCGGGTTTTAATTTTGAATCTTATTGTCATCTACCTTCAATTCGAAATACAAAAACTGGCTCAATGGTTTAGTCCTAGACTAAACCATTGAGCCAGTTTTTGTGTTTCCGGTGACCCACGTGGCCTTTAATGTGTTAACGTTTTACATAGAAATTCTTGTCTTAAAATTAGTTAATCTATGAAATGTGTTTCTTTTTTTTTATACTCTTGACTTGCATTTTTGTTTGAAATATTTAACAATCGGAATACTTAATTTAGGTACAGTAGTGGATATAAACAGCGACGGATTTTATTTTCACTTTTCAAAAGAGGATGTTTTGATTTTATTTTCACTTTCCAATGGAGGATGATTTTTTGTAATAAACTAAATATTTGTTTAAGTTTTATATTATACCTAAGTTACAAAGAAGAAGGTGTTAGATTGAAAATTGCAATCAAAATATCTTCTGAGCATAAATTCGGATTTTCTTTTACCAATTATGAATAACTACCACGATGAATAGAGTTATTTATACGACTTCTGCTTCATCCCTACTATTAAAATAAACAAAATAACAAACAAACAGTTTAAATTTCTTTATTTACACATTTACAGTTAATTTCTTCGCTGCAAAATATTTACAAAGCATTTGTAGACTAGTTAACATTAGCTCTAATACTGGCTAAAATAAAAGCCCAAACGCACGAAGACAATCCACAGCAACAATGCTTCCTCCAAGATCACGATTACGGTGGTAGAGTTGTGAATATTCCAAGGCTAGATACAAATTCATTCATCCATCTTTACAATTCAATGTTTCTTTTGCAAAACTAATGTTCTACCGTACAGTGGAATCGGCCCAGTCGTCCATTTGTGCACTTTGCCATCAACGTATTTGCGACTGTATATGGTGACGTGCGGCTTGTCTAACACAGATCCGCCTAAGGGAACCCATCCTCCATAGGAGTGCGTGAAAGGATCCCATGGGAGACTCCATTGTCCCAGAGTTGTTAGTTTCGGTAGGTTGGCAACAATGGGTGTGGCACCGAAGCCATAGTTTACTGGGCCTATGATTGATGTTAGAGGAGCTACTGGTAGAACTGGCGTCGATAGAGGTAGGATTGGCTTGATTGGTAGTACTGGTGCATGAGCATGTACGGTGGGTCCGACCTTCTTCACGACTGCATTGAAGCCGGTATGGTCGTTGGCCGCATAGTCCACGATACGAAGGGAACCGTCAGGCTCCACTATTGAGTACGATCCTTTAACCGTATCTCCGTCTCTAGTCTCCCATTGAGCCTTGTTGTCTTTTGTTATCGGGTCGCTGACAGCGTAGTTGTACGCGTAGCGGGGGTAATCCTGCAACATTCAACATTCATAAATATACATAATTATAAGATTTATTGCATCATTGAATCGAAGTGTGATACTTACAATTTTATCAACGACTGGAACCACATTTATGGCACCAGCGGAAACAGTAGCAACAGCTACGGCGAGTGCGCACGCAATCTGTAATCATATACATTTTTTATGATTCAAACATCGAACAGTATACATACAAAAATAATCGATAATCGTCTCTAATTTGTATCATCGATTTTTTTAATAAAAAATTGCTAACCATTAACAATGGATTCATATTGTCAGCGAGTGACATGTAGAATGTTGGGTTGTCAGTATGTGCAGTATGCTTTTATAAGTGCTTAGTGGTAGGACTGCCGATACTAGTTCTTATACTACAGGTTTGTTATTCACATGAAACATGACCCAATACATGCAAAAAAATATTTCAATCGAAATGTTTTTTGCTTGATATGTGATGGTATATGAATAGTTCCAGTTGATTCGGGTTCGTTTGCAAGGGTCTGCAGACGGGTCTTCTACTTCGATAGTCATACTCTCGCATGGTAAAGTTTATCTGATGTTTATGTAAAACCAGATTTATAATCTGTTTTTGTTAGCTATTTTATTTTAAATTTCTTTATATTCTTGTTCCATAGATCCTACTCATGTTATAATTGCAAAAAATTGTGAGTATGATACTCGTACTGATCTGGCACAGACATGAAATATGATCTGATATAATATACTGACATACTGATATGGTGTACGTTTTTCTAGTGGCGTGTGATTATTTAAACTCTAATCATATTAAACTCACTTTTAAGTTGTATTGTAGACCTGAGTCTTTAACTTAAACTCTCCTAATAACTCACAGAAACTCTCTCTTGCTGAGGTAAGTGTGACTTACTTTTGCGATGATTAATGATTCTGATCTTGACAATGAAAATAATTATATTTTCAATAGCAACTTTAATTTTTGGGATATTATGCAGAACCCTATTTTAAAGTATTACTATAAACATGCCAAGCAAAAACCTACCTTATTTACATCAATATACATAAATTGTACAGTCAATTGTCTGATTAACGAGCTATGTCAGTCTTGAATGTCTTCAATTTGTCATAAATAATTAATTACAAACAATATTGGGAAATGAGTAAATGATCATCAGCCTATAAGTGCCCGCTGCTGAGCAAAGGCCTCTTCTCATACGGAGAAGGTTAGAGCATTAATCACCACGCTTGCTCAATGCAAGGCGATTTCAAACTTATAAGTAGAAATTATAAGTCCAGGTTTCCTCACGATGTTTACCTTCACCGTATGTCAGTGGTGTCTGGTGTCTAAATAATCATAGAAAGTACATATAACTCGGAAAAAGTCACATTGGTACTTGCCAGGTTTCGAACCCACACCCTCATGCATGAGAAGCGGGCTCCTTATCCTCCGGGCCACCACGACTACATTAAGTTCAACACTATTTTTTTTTATTCCAAAGTGATATTGTATTGGTCGGCAAAAGTGAAACGGGTAACCTGATGGTATTCCCGAAACACCAGGAGAGAAGTTACAAGTGTGTGTGCCAACTTTTTGAGAGTTATTAGCAATTTCGGACGGAATAGGGATTAAAGGATCTTCCGGCAACCTCACTCACTCGGCGAGACGCTGATGAAAAATTCATTCGGGTTGAAAGGCCCATAATAAACTAAGATTGCCGATATACTTTTTAACGTTGCATGCTTTCAGATCAGACCCTGCTAGAATTAGGATTAAGGCCGCTATCCCACTAGGCATTTTACTAGCGGTGACGTCAATGTCGCGTTTGCGCAGCGTCGACGCCGCGCTGACGTGACGATGACGCCGCGTCGGCGCGTGCTAGGCGTCCACTAAACGCAACGTTGACGTCAACGCTAGAAAAACGCCCGTGGGATAGCGGCCTAAAAGGTTGCGTTATACGTATATAGAATTGTTAGCCTGTCGTGGTTGCGTTTCTAAACAAACAATTTACATACCACATCACACCCAGACCCTGACCAATATATTCGTGGATCACAAATAGTTCGGAAATCGAAACCGCGTCACCCTACACCTTACAGTCAGTTGCTATAACACTGCGTCAACTTTGCAGTTTTTATAAGCGTGATAACAGGCTGACTTAATTTCATATTTTTTATTCATTGTATTTGCTATACATCCAGAACGCAGCGATCTGTACATAGAAAAAAAAACCATACTATAACGCCACGAAGATAACGATTATAATACCTACCTATTATGTAAAAGGAAGAACATTATCAGGAGTTCAGTCAACCGTGAAACATGATTAGCATGATCAGCAGTCATTATGCAAATAATTACTAATTTTATTTACTTCATAAAAGCACCAATAGAAAATCGAGAAAATTGTCTTCAAGGCCCTAGTGAAATTGAGCTCCATCATAAGTCGCATCATTGCTTACCATCAGGCTATAAAGCGGCTACAGGTGAGCCTAATAATAAAATACTATTAATAAAAAATCTCCTGAAGTCGTATGTAACTAATCGGGTTGTTTGCTTCATGACCTAATGTGACGGTAACTGCTAATGATGTATGCGTGTAAATGTGGGTAGTGGTATCTATACTAATTTTATAAAGAGGTAAAATTTGTAAGTTTGTATGTTTGTAAGTTTGTATGTAGGGGGTAATCTTTGGAACATCTGTCGGATTTTCAAAATTCTTTCACTGATAGATAGTTACAATGTTCCTGAGTGCTAAAGGCTATAAAACATTAAGCTATGATTAAATGGAGCCGAGCAGCGGGTGTAACCGTGCGAGAGTAGCTAGTTATAATTAAAACTGTTATTATGTCTCTCATTAATTTGGCTCTCATAAATAAAGTCCAACGATGATAACAACTTTTCTACAATAAAATTAATTATTAGGTAGAAAAATGTTAAAACTAAGCTTGAAATTAAATAACGAGTTAGTTACTAAAATTATGATAGTATCGTTATTTTTTTTATTTTAATACACTTTTTACTGGATATTTTTTTTTGACGTCGTCTTTCATCATTCCTTTAGGCCACTGCTTGACAAAATAGACTTACGTCTTATTAATACTTGAGTCTTCTAACATCAACACCACACACGCAAAGTAGTTCATGCCACGTTGAGACATCAGACAGGTATTCTGGTTAGTAAAACAATTATATTTCACCACATGGTGGTGTATGCTTTATTAGTGCTAGTCTGACTTATAATTATAACATAAATATTATTTGTATTATGTACAAAAGACACGACCTTATCCTAATCTAAAGGTCTTTCTTCAAGGAGACTCACTAGGGGAGACTAAAGACAACAAGGAACAGTAATGGGCAGCGGCATTTAAACGTTGGGAGTCCTCAGATTTCTGTATTTAATAAACTAATGCTTGCCGTAGTAAGGTGCCGCGCCCCAAGTGTTCAGTAGTCCGTCACCTAACAATCCATGGCCACTGAGGGGAGCTTTGGCGTAACTGGCGCCCAGTCCGCTGTACCCACCATATCCAGCTAATCCATCCTTGATTCCTCCATAACCGCCTAATAGCAGACCATCGCCCTTCAATCCAGCGTAACCTCCATATCCAAGTCCAATATCCTTAATTCCTGCGTATCCACCATATCCTAAAGCATCACCTTTCAACAGCGGCAATGGTGCTGGGTAGCCTCCCAAACCTCCTGTCAATATTGGTCCAGACTTGTAAATGGGACCAGGGAGGCCAGCGTATGATGGCAGTAGTGGTGCTATGGGAGCAACGGGCTTCACAAGCGGCCCGTAAGATGGGAGAGGTGCAATTGGCGCGATTGGTGCAATTGGCGCTATAGGAGTTTTGATTATTGGCGCGATGGGAGCAACAGGTGCGATGGGCGCTATCGGCACCGCGGTCTTCACAAGGTTCGCCGTAGATATGGCTCCTCCCACAATAGGTCCTGATATCAGAGGAGCTCCTGCTAGACCTCCAAATTTACCGATTGGTCCCACGGAGATGGGTGCAATTCCAGACGCATGTCCCAGCACTGGGATCGGCGCCTTGTAGATGGACGCAGGTACTGACACTGGGTGCAAGTTCGGTCCCAAACGCTTCACTACAGCGTTAAAACCTGATTTTGCGTCGGCCCAGTATTCTACAATACGTAAGCTGCCGTCTGGCTCCACTAGTGAGTAAGCCCCTGTGATCAAAATATAATATTAGATGTGCTGTTCACAAAAAATAACAATATTTTCTTAGCATCAACAGATCTAACCTTTAACTACGTCGCCGTCTCGTTTTTCCCATTGCGCCTTGTTGTCTCCCGTGTGAGGATCTTTTACTGCATACTCGAAGGCATATCTGGGATAGGCCTTAAGGAAAGAAACACATGATTTAAATATTATAAAAATCAATGAAAAAATGCAAGCGGCACAAAACTCACATAATAATCTACTGAGGCATGTCCTGGCGCATATACTAGACCCCCTCCTAATAGTCCGTCAGCCGCGACAGACGCCGTCAAGGCGAGGAGGCACGATATCTGCAACATTAAGAACACCACTTCACAAACTTATCCCTTAAACATTAAATCTATAGCAATGACTGATTGCACCGACCGCTGCGTAAATATTCATTATGCCAGAGACGCACTGACGTGATGTCAAAAATGCACTGCAGAGTAATTGGCAGCTTGAAGGCATTTATAGGCGATTGGTTTAGACCTTCATGTCCTATGTTGCGGATGTGGAATGTTTAGCGCGCACTCGCTCTAGCTGTAACAACAATCACCAGAGTTGCATCAGGCTTCCTCATTTTCATAGAACAGCCTTCGGGTAGTGAAAACGCGACTTAATATGTAAAGAGGGCTCGATGCCTCGGTGGGCAGGATGTACGGGTTGGCGCGAGGATTTTATGTTAACTTCAGGTAGGAAACCGGTCAATTGTGCGGATGATTTACTTGATTGTTATCCTTGATATCTTTATATCTGTAAACATGTTGAGTGTAGACTCGGTATCTGTTTGTACCGAGGTGTTGCTGCAATATAGCTAAACGCGTTAATGATACGACGACGTTTTGCTCCAGTTGCGTCTGCGTGCAGTGTCGGGGCGTCGTAAACGGCTGGTTGATCGCACGCTCGACTAGCGGATGTCGGTCAGTGTGATCATTATCAGATATTACTTGTATAACATTACACATTCATCTTTTTCACCTGATTGACGTGCGATCGTGAACTTTGTTTTCAAGGTACTATACGAATTAAAATGTATTACAGAATTCTTTAGTTCTCGTAGTACTTAATAAACTTTGCAATGTCTACCAATGTAGGTTTATAGGCACTTAAATTTCACTTAAAATGTATCAATTTGTGAGTCAACCCTAAACAGCGTAATATGGTATTACTACGTTATTGGATTCGGTACAATATAAACTAATGGCAAGTCATAAATCTATGTTTGTGTATCAATAAACAGCAAATGCAATAAAATTTGAGAACTGCTATAATTTACAAATTCCTAAGATTAGAAACACGTTATCTTAAATGCAATCTAATTGATTTGGTATTACTATTAGGCCGTGCTTTATTATTGCAATCTGACTAATGGGATAATTTAAGACGAAGGAATGGATACGCTATTAGTGTGTAACATTAAAAACACTTAATTCGCGTACATAAAGTACGTAAAGATCATAATTATGTATTTTACATTTTCAGTTAATTCATACTTAGCAATAGCAAATATTACTCCAAATAATAAAAACTAACTAGACCCTTACAGTTTCACTACTCGGCTTCTATTTGTCATAACGTAATATTTCATAGCCTTTTCTGGACCTACTCGATAAATGAACAACTCAAAAAATCTAAGATCAACTAGACCTAGTAGTTCCCGAGCTTATCGCGTTCAACGAACAAGAAAGAAATTTCAGTCTCATAGTGTCTGTGTCGATTACAATGTACATTCATTGTGGATAGAAAGGAGTTATTTTAAAATTAGTTTAAATGATGTATTACAAATAAATCATTAAAACTCGTATTTGGCTTTTTCTGGCAATTTCATATCCTGCGGATGAACTTTCATTGCCGCGCCCTAACGCCCATGTGAGAAACCGGACACCCAGGTGGTTTTTCGTCAGTAAATGTCTCTCAGCCCCCTTCGTCTCCCCAGGCAAAAGGGCTCCAGAAGGACTTTCCACCTTAGAGCAAAAAAAAAATCCTGGCAATTTCATATTACAATAGGTACTATGAAATAATATTAAATAATCTTTCCATTGTCCACAGGCCTACAGCTGTCTCCCAGCCACAGTTCTAGCATCTTGCGTCGAGAGTGTCTGGTCCTGCGGCAGTGTGACTGGCTCACAGACTCAATTGTCCAGAGCTCTATGGCTATGGTGTGGCGCCCTGGGCGCGAGAGTCTGGCTCCCTTTACTACCGCGAGACACCACCAGACATCCAGACTCGAGCAGACATACGTTCATGGCTAAGAGGATCATGCTGCCTTTCCATCTTAATATTTATCCATTGAGTAAGTTCTTATGTTATTTATTATGCTGTACTAAAAGGTTTAATGGTTATTTACTATTCCTTAAGTAATGATTGTTTTTACTCACATTAAGTAACTAAATACGGGAGAGAGGTTTTGATTTCCTGGATGATCACAAATTTCTACCCGGATTACAGATACTTTATTTATTAGTTTTCATTTATGTTAACTTAGAATGATCTCCGCCGACCTTTTGTTTTTGAGTTTAAGGATTGGGATGGATTTGGAGGAGGGGAAGGATATGGCCTAGGATAACCTCACTTACACAGCGAAATACAACGCGTATTAATTTCACGCCTTTCTGTGAGGCCGTGGTATCACTACGTCCAATTAGACCTATTCGTGCCGAAGCATGGCTCTCCCACTGCTAATACTGACATGTTACAATAAGTGTAAAAATAAAAATTATTTTTTATTTATTTGCAGCAATTTTATTCGACGATGCTATCCTGCTGGGTGCTGAGAATGACACAACTCTCTACGCTTCGGACTCCAGTTCAGTATTCTCGTTGCCATTCTGTGTCGTCAATAGAACAGTAAGTTTTATTACAAGCTATTTAACATAGAGTTTTTGGTGAAAAGCAATTTACTTTGATCCTTTTTAATACCAAGAAATGTTAAGCTACATATTTCGTACCAGGATTAGGTCCTCTACTTTTTTTAATGGTGTATAGGCTGGTAAACTAATATATATCCAGTTTTTGTGTAAAAGAGTTTTGAAACATATCCATGCATTCTCACAAATTTTCACATTTATAATATAAGTAGAATAGTAGGATTATTAAATAAATTTTTAAATATTTCTTCCTTATTTATTTTGAAATAGCAGTAAAAAATTGTAACCGCGTAAAATATCCTACCAAAAAACCTAAATCGTAACTTAAGTTATAACGAATATCCGTCAATTAGCAGAAAGGAACTGCATACCTATTCATTTCACCAATGATATATTTCCTTAATTATATTTCTAATTAGCGCCCAAATTCAACCAATACGTAACAATTAATAATCGTTAATTTTTACATGTTGATGTAATATATACTTCTGTAGCAATTGTACTGCCGATAGGAGATTCATGTTTCCACAAAATATCTATTTGCTCTGATATTTATATTGCTTCATTACTGTGCTACTGCATAATTTTTGCTTTGCCATAGAATAAATATGAATAAGTGAAAAATCTTAATAGAATTTTACAGTAAATACACGTCCTTCGTTTTGAAGTTATAATATTGGTTTTGAATAAGGCGTGGTTTGGATAAAATTAAGGATTGGCATATTGTTTAATATGTATAGGTACTACTACTGTTATACATTACATAAAAAAAAGTTTTTTGGTGTTTTGTTTTTCACATTACGCACCGCCCACCACATTCCAGGAAGCATTTACATAGAATGCCTTCTTTGTAAATGCTTCCTAAAAGTTCTGTTTTAATTTGGGATTAAAACACAACTTTTCTATTGTCTTTATAATGTTTTTCCTTTTTTATAAAACGTTTTTTTAAACGTACCCACACTAGGATATTCTCCTGTGACGTGGGTGCAACTACAAATATACAGTTTTAGATACACATCACACTAAGACCCGAAACCAAAATTTGTGGACCACACAAAAAGTTGTTCGCAGCAGCCAGTTGCCCAGCCACCGCGCCAACTGACCAGTCAACTATTACTATATTACTATTATTTGTCTTTCAGAGTCAAGTCTACCTCCACCAAATACTAAGACAACTGCTCCGGCGTAATCTTGGCTACCACGCGTGGGAGATCGCTCGCTCGTGCTCGCAGCTGGCTTACTTCCCTCATTCCCTGGAACTGCTCCTTCATGAGGTGTTGGAGGAAGAAGCTACCAGCAAGGAACCCATACCTGATGCCCAGCTACCTTCTATTATTGAATTCGTTCATGAATTCCCCGTATATTTGCAGGTGAGTCAAATTATTAATATCATACATTTTCACGAATTACAAGCAATTATATTAATATTATATACTACTAGCCTCCACCCGCGGCTTGGCCCGCGTGATGATAAAAAGTAGCCTATATCCTACTCTGGATTGTATCCTATGCTTGTGCCAAATTTTACCCAGATCCGTACAGCCGTTTTAGCGTGATTGAGTAACAAACATCCAAACATCGTAACTTTCGGTATTTATAAAATTCGTATAATTGATGATATTGCATGACACAAAATTTACTGCTTCTAATTTTATTACAATATTTTTTTTATTATTATAAAATAAACCAGTACTTAAATTAAATATAGTCGTAATAATTATTAATGATATTAGATAATAAATTATAAATGAGCTACTACGAGTATTTCACACTTCATGCGTTTATTGCATTCATGAAATCCTTTATTTCATACGCCACTAGGCAAATAGTACGGATGATCATGAATAATGGGTTCGGACCCTTCCACCTATTTGGGAAACGTCGTGAATACATTAGACTATGAATAATTTTAATGCTTTTTTGGTATAGTGGCTGATAGTACCTAAAGCTACTGTAATAAGGTATTCCTTTTCATAGCCATGATGAATAGCCTTTTGGTATTGTAGTCGCAGGTGCAATAGCTGAATAAGTGTCAGGTCAGGTTCGATTCATCCATCCCGAACAGACTGATGTTCTGTTGTTTTTCCAAAGTTTCGTTTCTTTTTCAGTAGTAATAGTTCGTTTTAATTGCGATATAAGCCAATAACTAAGGTTACATAGTAAACACAAGTAAGCTTTAGCGTGGTGAAATAAGAGTGGTCCATCCAAAACTACTATAGGCAAAATTTTAATTCGATTCCAGATTTGACATTAGCCACTGTAATTTTGTGAAATAATGATACCACATATAACAATGTAGTGATGAGCACAAAGAATCGATAAACCATCAGTGAATCAGGTTCAGGAAGGCATTCAAACAATTACGGCTACCGAATAGTCTAAATGCGTATCCCATGTTGTTAAAAAAGATGAAAAATTAGTAAGCTAGATATGTTAATTGACAATAATCTAACTTATCAGTTCAGAAATATTTAATTTCCTGATAAACTTAGTTTACGAGAGTAAATTAATAAACGAAAGGAATCGATTCGGAAATATTCCATTTCCATATCGAATAATTCGCAACGTCACTATTTAGTAGTTGTCATAACGTTGGAATCTAATTAAAATTCTGAGTATAGTTATCTTTCCTTTACTGAAATTATTGCTTATACATATACTACATACACACTTTTTACCATGAATTCCATCAAAAATAATGTTATTTCTCTTTCAGACAGTCGTTCAATGCGCGAGAAAGACAGAGATAGCGCTATGGGCGTATTTGTTCTCAGCAGCGGGGAAGCCGAAGGAATTGTTCCAAGAATGTTTACACCGCAAAATGCTGGATACGGCCGCCTCTTACTTAATTATATTACAGGTATGTACAATATGATGCTTAAAACCTTAGTATGTAAGTACTTTTCATAACTTTGCTTTAAAACAAAAATGGTGGTGCACTTGAGCTTAACTGTCGAGTTGAGTGTGTATATAGGGATAAAGACAGCTAGGAAATTCATTCCATTTTTTGTAATGGCGATAACTATGTAGTACCTACCTAATTTTGTAAATTGGGTCCTCATAACTTTTGGCCATCAAAGAGAAACAATATTTAGTATAGTAAAATACGCTAAAAAAAAGTTGTAGCTAAGCTTATAATTAAATCGAGTAAAGACAGTATCGTTTTAGATTCTTAAATTGGATTATAAGGGGAAACAAATAATTTTTCTCTAAGTCCTAATTATTAGATGTTGATAAATATTAACGGTACGCAGAATTTCATTTCGCGAGGTTTCTTATTTATTTGTAACGTGCAGTTTTTATGAAAAAAATAATAAAGACCACTAGTATACTACTACTTATGTCAGCCCTAAGACGAAACTTCAAAATTCTGAATATATTGTTTTTTCTTCTTGCAGCTGGTAAAGGTACATTATAATTCACTGTCTGCTTATTTCGTGCCTACCATGCCCTATTTCCGTAGCTCTATTTAATATTGTATCAAATTACCTACCAAATGTATTTGGTATACAGTTACTATTTATACTTCTTTGGTGTAAAACCTCCGTACTGTAATTTAAGATGAAACTTTGTGGTGGTGGATTTTTTGAAATTTGAATTTGGGAGCGAGATGGAATTAATTTGAGTATTAATTTTTCATTCAATTCAATCATTTAGTAAAATATTTTTTATCATATTGCTTCTCTTCATTCTATTAATGTTTTCGATTCTTTATAAGAAACAAATGCGTGTTAACATCGCCCATTGTAATTGTAACTCTAGTGATACTAATGGAAGTGGTATAATGTATTAAAAAGTTAAACATATTTTTGTACAAACGTAACAGTGCTTCTAAGAGTCCATTACACTAACATAATCAACTTTCAAAATGTCCTACACCAATCAAGTACAACATAAAACCTATATAGCTTAGCGCTTTTGTCACATAGAATAGTGAACCGAAAGCGTAGCGTGGCAAAAGCGATTATCGTGTGTAGCTAGCACGCCTTGCGACCTTCTTGCGTGCTTCTCTGTTTGATATGCATTAAATATAACTTATTATTCGCCTCGCTTTCGGTTTCTGCCTTCGCTGTGTGGCAAAGGCTTTTCATTTTTCTTGGTTGTACAGGACAACAGGCACACGATATAATTACTTATTACCAGTCTATTAATACCTAGAGTCGTATAAAACGTACGTTTACGTCTTTTATGAAATTTATCTTTTATATAATTATTCAATACTTCGTTTAGCTCGACATGTGAAGTTGTTCTTTTTTCAACATTAGCAGTTATTGTCATATATAGGGAAACATATTTTGGATTTTTTTAAAGCTGCTACCGTAATCCGATACATACAAAATATATTGCAAATACGAAATATATTGAAGTCGCCACGATTCATGAATAAGAGTCTTGTTGTGACTTTAAACTAGTAGAGCTTTTCACGAATAATTAACGTGATGACATCGTTATTTTCAATTAAAAAATTTAGAATTGTACACAAATTAAAAAGTAAGTTTGTAACAGGGATATTTGTGAGGAATTTGTTAATAGTATTAGTAGTGTGTACTATAAGAACATTTGGTATTGCTAAAATCCATTAGGTATAGTATCGTGTGCCTGGTCATGACTCAGTTTATCTTTATGTTTCTTTGTCCGTTTGTGACAGAACTTGGAAAGTTCAGCGGTCAGCAGACAGCTAGCGACACAACTCCTCGACACCGCCCTGCAGCAGGAGCGGTGGGATCTCGCCAGGGATCTCGTTAGATTCTTGAGAGCTATAGGTGAGTACAATGTGCGGGAAACTTAACCGTATAGCAACTAATATAAGTTCACATTTTGAGTGTAAAGTAAGTATTAATCGCGAAGATTTCTACCATAATCTGGAGTGTACAATTTCAAATTAAACGTTATACCATATACTAATAACAATAGTGTATCGATGACTGGTAAAATCATACTCTCTGGCACTGGATGACGAAGCTTTTATTTTAAAACATTGAGATGCTCTCTCAGGGTTTTGGCGCCAGGAGGGACTGATCCGTTCGCAGTTTGGGCGGGCCTTAAGACTTTCAAATTACACATAATTTTTTGGCGCCGGGAGGGACTGGCCCGTTCTCCGTTTGGGCGGGCCTTGAGACTTTCTTTTTTTATGTTTCATACCCGGATACGACGGATTCAAGCATGAAAGTATTTATTTGATTCCTTAATATTCATTGCGGATCTTCTCTCTTGTCATTGTCTTGGCAGGATACGGCGGGCGGGGTAACAATTAAAGTACCAAGCGCAGCAAAAAAGGTTATTAGATTTTATTAAAACATTATTTTCTCACATTCCAACAGATCCGAACGACGTCGATTCACCGAGGAATTCGGTGAACGTTCAAGCGAAGTACGGTCAGGTTGTCCAGTCACAAACGGTCAGCCCAAACGCTGAGGACCTCTCCGTCATACTGGGCAACATGCAGGTAATCGAGGTCCACACACTTTTCAATTATTACAGAACTACTAACTTGGGAACGAATGGACTAACATTTTGGTTAACTTTTGGCTATCAACATTCTACTAACTTGGGCACTCTACTACATGGTATTTTATTAAACAAAGTCGCTTTTGCTGTCCTAATATCCCTATAGATGCAAAACATTTAATTACGCAACGGATTTTGATGCGGCTTTTCGTAGATAGAGTGATTGAAGAGGTGGTTTTTAGGGTTCCGTAGCCAAAATGGCAAAAACGGAACCCTTATAGTTTCGTCATGTCCGTCTGTCCGTCTGTCCGTCTGTCCGTCTGTCACAGCCGATTTACTCGGAAACTATAAGTACTACAGTGATGAAATTTGATGGGAATATGTGTTGTATGAACCGCTACAAAATTATGACACTAAATAGTAAAAAAAAGAATTGGGGGTGGGGCCCCCCATACATGTAACTGAGGGATGAAAATTTTTTTTTCGATGTACATACCCGTGTGGGGTATCAATGGAAAGGTCTTTTAAAATGATATAAAGTTTTCATAAAAACATTTTTCTTAAAGTGAACGGTTTTTGAGATATCAGCTCTCAAAGTCGTAAAAAGTATGTCCCCCCCCTCTATTTTTATAACTACGGGGTATAAAATTCTAAAAAAAATAGAGGTGATGCATGCTAATTAACTCTTTCAACGATTTTTGGTTTGATCAAAGTATCTCTTATAGTTTTTGAGATAGGTTGATTTAACTGTAATTTTGGTTAAGTTATTGTGCTTACACTGAAAACGATGGCTGAACCTTATAAGATAGATCAAAAAATATACTACAGTATTGTACACCTTTAAAAATCCGCGATGATATAAAATCTTTATAATGTAGGTACTTTTTACGAGAAATATTAGCTTATTCAAGCAATACGCCATTAATCCTTATCCAGTAATGTACCTTAAATACATTGTGCATTTGATAAAGTTTAATATTACAAATGTGATTGTTGAGTAATAATAGGTTAGAATGCGGGATATACACCTCTTCTCCAAAATTGTATAACCACTAGAGGTGAAACTCACCTGGATAATATATTTGGTAATTTTAATTGTGAAGCTGGTGTATATACTTCTTTATTCAGTTATCACAAGCCGATTTGGGCACGCCTATAGCACGGAATATTTATAAATACATATATAAAATTAATATTCATACATAAAAGTACAAGGCAAAATATCGGGAGAGTTTAGGCTCCATTCACCAGGTGTATAAATTGACATAATAAGTTTATTATATTTGCTGCTACGGAACCCTTTGTGCGCGAGCCCGACTCGCACTTGGCCGGTTTTTTAAGTGTAATAACGTCCAACGGTGAAGGAATTTAGTCTCAGCATTGCACACGTGCGAAGCTGGAACAGGTGGTTAGTTTTTTTGCATACAATGCCTTTTGATTTGGTTTTGGTTTTAGAAATTTTTGGTTGGGTTTATTCTTGATTTTTGTTCTTTCTACTATTCTATAGTGTGTAATACCCGCTGACATTTCCAGCTTAATTTTTGAAAAACCTAGACATTACTTGTTGTATGTTCTATAATATCTAGACTTATTGAAATTCAGGCAGATCTCTACCAACCTCTTGAGACAGTAAGATACGTAAGTTCACGGTAATATGAACCTAACCGGCTTGCTTTGTACCCCAGTTGGCGGGTGGTCGCGGGCGTAGCTTCAGTACGACAGTGTCCCCCCGCGAGCCGTCCCCCCCTGCGCACGCCCCGCCTCCCCCCGCGCCCCCACCGCACGCACCCCCCGCGCGGGCCACTGCCGCTGTCAAGAGGAAGAAGTCTGTACCTGCTAGATCTGAAAGGTACACTTTTATGATACACTTTTCAATTACTTAAAATTTAATTTAGATATCGTATTAAAGAAGCTTTTACTGAGTTAGCGTGAAAAATATCGATATTTATTTTGCGCAGTTAGCGCAAAGTATGCGCATCTATTCCTTATATACACAAATCACATTACGTTAATAATATTTAATGTTTGATCTTCGTAACAGTTTCACATCACCTCCAAACAGGGATTCGTACAGTGGTACAGCGGAAGAGTTCTTCATAGACATGATGATACAGCGCCATGCGCGACTCCTCCTATCTACCGCTCGGCTCTATGCGCTTGGCAAGATGGCGGCGGCTTTAGACTTACACCTCGTCGCTTGGTTAGCCGGGGAAAGGGAACGAGCCGCCAGGGTAGACAACGCAGTGCTCTGTGTTAAGAAATTGCACGAAGACTTTGCCTGGCCGTACCCTGTTATTAATGAATCGGAACAGTATCTACAGAGGAAGGGAAGCACTGTTGCCAGTAAGTATACTTTTTTATTGATTATGAAAAATAATTTTTGTTTTGCTTTTATAAATATGTTATTGTGCTGTACTTTTTCAAATTTTGTTACATATAAATCTAATTTATATGTTGGACTTTTTGCCTTTACCAAAGAGTCTATCACAAGGAATCGCATCTCACAATGTCAAATTATTTATTTTAAATAGACCACAGCATGCACTTTTGAACGTCAAGCCAAAACAAAAATTAATTTAAAAGGTTACAAAAACAACTAACCAGTTTGATGGTCAATCCAAATTATAGTCGCGGGTTGTGTGAAACTTATATAACTTTCAACAACAATAATCACATTTTATTGAAGACATTTAATTTTCTTCTATCAGGTACATATACCCCGTCAGCGGAATCAGACAGTTTGTGTGGAGACAGTGGGTACATGAGTCTACCGCTACGAGCCGCGTTGCCTTTGATGACCGGCGCCGTGCCTGTGTCGCCTGGACCTGTTAGGTGAGCGATATTTGTAGAGTAACTTAATTTTTTTTATAAACTAAAGAAACATTGCCACATAAGGGTATCCTTATTTTGTGTCGTGAGGTGTACTTGCCCCACATTAGTATTTTCGCCTGTGTCGTGGGGCGATCAAACAAAAAAATTCACATACATATCACACAAAGAGTTATATTTTCAATCACACCAATCATAATGAAAAATCTAAGTAATTTATTTTTGACTAAGGGTGCTACCCAACTATCGGCGTGGTTATAAGTCGTCTTGTAATACTATATTATGTAAGACATGAGATACTTTGATAGTAGTCGAAGGCATAGGACTTACATGCGTCATCAGCGCCATCTAGTGCGCACCAATGATGTATAAATCTATAGATACGTTGTCCGCGCTCTAAAATGGCAACATGAAATGAAGGCAATTTGACAACATCGCGCTTAGTCACGCACCAACCTCCCGCGCGACGCTACGTTTGTTATAATTTATATCGTGTGTGTAAACCTGTGCGAAACTAAAGAAAGCATGCCGTCGTGTGTGTTCAGAGGATGTACAAATTATACTCTAAAAGTTAAATACAAAAATGTGTCATTTCATGCGTAAGTTCACCAAACAACCTATTTTTATTTTATTTTTTCGACGCCGGCGCCCGCCATCTTATGGCGGCCGGCGCATGAAGGTATAGTCACGTGCCGATGTAACTGAAGATGTATATTTATCTCCCTCTAGCAAAGGCATTCCACTATACGATGTCATATTTTCTTTCCCTTTCTTTACTCGTAGAAGTAGTTATCTAGTATTTTCGCCGTTTTTAAGCGCCGCGATGTTGGTTCATGACGTGTCTATATATAATACGTCATTGGTGCGCACCAATCTGTAGCTCTTTGACTTCACAATACCGCCGACGTATCTTGGCGAGTCTGAAAATCTGAAATCCGAGTAGCTGCGCAGTACACAATTTTGTTTCTAAAGATCCATTGCGCAGACAAACGGCTAACTTCAGACTCGCCAAGATACAGCAGCCGTACTGTACCTATCTTAATTTGACCTTATTTTGCAATTGACAAATAATCTAATAGTTTGATTATATTATTTGATATTTTGTGTATCCAGTTCTGCGGGAGAAGGCAGCGTGGCGGAGGGTGGCGGCGTGGCTTGGGGCGGCGACGCGCTGGGGGCGGGCGAGGAGCGGCGCTACGCCGCGCTCATGGAGCGTCTGCACCACCACCAGGCCGAGCGGGGCTCACACACCGCACACGTACAGCTCAGGTACCAACCTGTCTCAACACCACAACCAGCCCACCAGGACTTAACACTTTGGAAAGCGCTAGCGAGATCTAAAGCTTTTCCCCTTTCACCGTATCTATAAAAATAAGATTTTTATTTTAATAAAAATATTCCAGTCCCTTGCGAAATGTACAACATTGACGTCCTATGTTACTCCAAATATTCTTCTGATTCAAAAAACCCTTGATTATTTAGAAAAAAAATGTACACATACACTACTTTATAAAAGAAATACTTACGCCAGTTGGTTGTGCAATAGTCGCATTCAAGCCCAATAAGGTAGGTAAGGTAGGAATAAGGAATGGAGGGAGGAGGGGTTAGTCAGTAAGAGCCTGATCCTCCCTCTCCCCATTCCCTGGGCGAGAGAAGTCATTTGATGATTTTCCCTCTACATAAGAGTGGGTTCTGTAACGTTTGAGAGATTATCTACCCCGGACGTTGTTTGAAATTACTCGAGCTTCCTAACAGATTTGTATACGTTCTAAATAACCAATGTAATGAAGTTTTCAACACTTTCCAGATACTATTTACAACTAATGACGGAAGCGAGCTGCGTAGAGTGGGCGGTGATCGTAGCGGTAGTGCTACGCGACGCGCTCGCCGTGCTACGGACTACGAACGCGGCGCGGGGGAACGACGTCAGTCTAGACGCTGTACGACGGTTGCGCAGGACCTTACAGGACATCTGTGCTTGGACTGACGCTGAATGGTATGTTATTAATAGTTAAAATAGATTCATCATTATATATTGGTTTTAGTATTTGAAACATAGTACTCATATAATGATCTATATTTCCTTATTCCGAAGTTTAAAGCTCTAGCTCGACTAAAATAAGCAAATCAAGCATAATTTATAGCCTTTAGCACTCGGGAATATTTTAACTATCCATCAGTGAAATAAACGGTTTCAAAGATTACCCACTAATACAAACTTACAAATTACAAATTTTGCCTCTGTATAATGTTAGTATAGATTTCACATCCAACCTTAAATCCTTTGGTTTTATTATCTTATTCTCTCCTTCTCTTTATTACAGTCTCGGCTACAAACCATTTATGATGGCGATCAGCAATCAAATACCGTTCCTAACATCGATAATCAACACTCGAGAGCGTCGTCTATCGATGACTAAGTCTCGTGTGCGGACGCCCAGCACTAGTTCTTTAGGACAGGAGGTAAAGCCTAAACCACAGAGTCAGGAAACTAAGCTCCCACCGCCGCAAAAAGCCGAGGTAACAAAACAGGCCGCAAGGAAAGAGTCAGCCGGGGCGGAGCCTGTGCCCTCGGTAGCCCCGCCCATGCCACGCCCACCTGCGCCCGCGCGCGATGACGTCTCTACCGGCTGTGTGCTCATGTAAACCTATTAAGCTAATGTCAACAAGACGAAATAAAAATAACAAACAACAAAAACAGTGTTAGTTGTTTTTTGTTTCAGATGTTATTACATACGAAATAACAAGTAATGAAAAATAAGAGTTGTTTCCATGGCGTTAAAGTTGATTGTTGAATATGGTTTTTTGTTTCGTCTTGAGGGCACGGCTTTCATGTTATGTTATGTAGTGTAAGTAAAAAGGTTCGTGTCAGTATCAATTTTATTAATTAAGTTCGAATTGGTGTCCAAAAGGCGGCCGTTAAAGCGAAAGATTTTTTTATGATTGAGGAAGAAAATTGATGCTGTCACCCAATTTCTTATGAAAACGAGAAATGTTTTTTATCAGTAACTAGAAAATTTTCTTCTACGAACAGTAGAATTAGTATAGTAGACGGCTGTCGATGTTCTAGATAGTATTAAAATTAAGAATTAAATTTTTTATTAGTAAATTTCATACTTTCGTACCCTAGAAACTTTCTTATACTATATTTATTAAAAAATTTTCACTTCGTCTCGACTTGTTTACTAATCAACGTTTGTAAATAAATTAGGTAAAATTAAATGAATCTTTTAGTAAGAAACTTTGGAACTTATGAATGAAAATATAGCGAAAGATATGAATTATATTATTATAATTTTGGTGCTGAATAATGTGTACATCTCGATATTTATTTGTGTAAATGAATTCATTATTTCTCTAGTCTAGATAGACTTCTTAATATTTATTAACTTATTTCCATCAACCTACAGAGGAGGCCGAAGCGTAGAATTTAAATATTTGAAAAAAGAATGCTTATTCCAAAAAATGCGAGTGTCATATTTTAATGCCTTTTTGTTCACTGTGCAAACTAAAACCTTTTTTTAAACATGACCTCTTTTATTGCTCTTCACTGCTATTATCCTACCGTTTGGACTCCAAAATTAGTATAATTTCGATATTATTATGTATTTGAATGTTTATAATTTATTGTACTTATTAATAATGGTATTACGTAGTAAGAGGTATAGTTGATCGCATATTTAATTTGAAAGTTGATACGGATAGCTAGTGTAGATACTAAGTCTATGGGTTGGTTATCCTAGACGATATTAGTATGAATTTATTATGTAATTATTTGGTATATATGTATAAATAGTAAGTTATTTGTAGTTAATATTATGTATATAAACCTGTATTACGTATTAAGTCAAAGGTAAGAAAACATAAAAGAAATATTTCTCTCGCAGGCGATGTCCAACGCAATAACTAAAACATTTACGAATTTAAATAATCTTCGTTTGGCTTTGGTTTTGCGTTTAATAACAAGTTTATATTATATTTGTGTACCATTCAAATCCCTTATGTATTTACCAACCGGATACTATATCTTAAACCAATTTTAGAGTTTTGTATAAAAAACAGTAGAATGATATATTTTCTCATTTTATTATTGCATCTTATGTTGTAAGTTTCATGGTTTTTAAAACACTAAGGTACTTACACCTTCTTACTAGGAAAAATCTGGTTTAAAAAAGCTTTTACTATGATCGATATATAAAACTATTTTCCTTATTTTTTCCTCCTTGCAACCCATGCGCGAGGCTTAAAACTCAGGTTGAATATTTAATTACTAACAGTACAAGTAGATGTAGAAAAAAAAATTTTTAACAGTATGTACCTACTTATATGTTTATTTATAAATCATAAAACACTCGATTTGTCCGTGAGAACAGCAATAATTATCGTTTAGATGATGATGATTTGATGTAACGAGTTTTGCTCATATAAGCAATGCGATTTGCGATAATTATTTGGTTTTATGTTGCTCAACTTATAATCTCATCATTTTATTTAGTGCTCACAGAATTACTTATTTAAAATACTATATTTTTTGTCACACACTACAATCTTACTGTGATAATGCACTACTATAAATAAAACAATATTTATAACCTATTATTTACAATAATCAATGAATACGAAAACAAAATGGCGCTCATCACAGCGCTAAGCTTTAAGTCGTTTCCCGCCATCTCGGTGCCAATTTTTCCTTACAGCGAACCGCAAAAATAAATAAATTATTTTTCGTAAACTAATTAATATTTAAAATGCCGACTAGTACAAAATATTTGATTTTGTTGTGACCATAATAAAAAAAATACAAATTTTTATTTTATAAGCATAACAACATCTTCATAGTCATCTTTTATTTTTAAGAATTTATTTTTCTTCAAATGATATTATTATTTAGTTAAATAGTTTGTGTTTGTAGAAAGAAATGTAGTCTGTACGCTTTAATTATAATAGATTAGCTCAAGATTAATATTAGAATAAAAGAATTCAATAAATTAGGGCTCGTCAAAAAAAACTTGTTTAGTAAAATTTTCTGTCTACCTAATTTATTTTATATTAGTTTAATGTGAATCTCTTTTTATTATCAAAAGCATTGTGTTCATTAGCCTAACTAAAGCACTTTCGTAATAGTTAACAAATCCAAAATTAATTCCCGCGTACTTACTGCATTTCTGTTCTTAGCTATCGTAATGTTAGTGATATTTTATAGTCTAGTTAGATCATCGTATCGAAAATCATTATTACATCTGCCTTCAATCATTCCAAATTCATGTTTGTGAATTTAATTAGCAATAATATTAATAAATTCAGCATTCCTTTTAAATTAAGACCCGTGGCCGTCACTTTAATGGGACACGAGAACTTCAATATACTTTTAAACAAAAACAGGACTTATCAATGAACATACCTACTTAAATAAACATTCGTATAGAGTGCGTAATCCTGTTCAGAAGTCAGCTAAGAAAAAATATTAATAATAAATATTAATACACGATTGTATAGGTCCCAATAAGGTAACGCTCATAATAATTTTAGTGAAATAATTTGGTCAATTATTAAATGAGTGTAAGCGAATTTTGATACTGGGGAGTCATCGTTATATTTTCTAATCATCTGATATTCGTATCGGTGCTAACGTTTAACCGAGAGAACCAAATATTTTTGGTTAATAGATATGCAATTCCGTCGTTTCCTTTGTACACCTATGAGTATAGTTAAGTATCCAGTAAGAGCTGTAGTCTGTTACCCAATTGGAAGTTGGTTTTGCTCATCTAGCACCTATTGGACATTAACTTTGACAGCTATAGTGAATGGATACAGGATCTTAAACTACATTTACGCCATCTTGTGGCACGATTTCTACACTTTTCTTTTTTTTTTACGCGGAAATTTTATTTTACGCGGCAAGAGCTTCAGGCGAAAATCACGGGTCAGGGGATCTCCGTTTCTTGTTTTTACTATTAGAAAAGACGAGAGTTAGTATGATTGGTATACAAAGGATGGCGTATTATTTTCTTTTTAGTAGTGCGTTTTGAATGTAACAAATGTACTACATTTTAAACAAAAGAGAGAAGCTGCTTTGACCTTTATTTTTATTATTTTTTTGTGAGGGGAAAATTATCAAATGACTGCTCTCGCCCAGGATGAGGCCATAGGCAGTGACTCTTACTGACTAAAAACCCCTCCATTCCTTCTTCTGATTTAGGCTGAGGGCGCGGCTTCAGTACCTTATTGTGCTGGCCCCGCAACCCCGGCTGTTGATCCATGTTTGCATGAACAGAATATAAATATAGCATCAACTTTAACAAAATATCTTCTAAAATGTGCACATTTGCTACGTTCAAACATAAAATACCTTGTTTGTTATGTTTTTGTGCTAACATTATCTTAAATTCATAGAAATAAGTTTATATTATTTGCCTAAATTGAGCGACTAATTTAAAATTTCTTATAGTATTTATTTAGAGAGAATGTATGTATGTAAATTCATTATTATTAAAATAACGCATCAATGGAACCTTCATGAAAAATATTATTAATTCAATAAATAGTTCAGTTATATACGTGACCATTTCTTTAATTGGGATGTTTGCCGTTGTAAATTTTTATAAGAAAATATGTAATTATTGTCAATTTGGTGTTAAAAAATACATAAAGTAAATAATATTTTTTCCTTTGTTTTATTTTACTTTTGTTTACACAAAATTGGAGTGGCCGTCAAAGAGAAAAGAATTGAAATAGCATAATCCCGCCCGGAAATCAGTCTTGACTGTCGACAGATCAATTTTGTCCTCCTTAGCGTTCATGGATAATGTTGTTTTGATCCTATAATGAATATAAAACTGCATACATAGAAGAAGAAAAATGATCAGTGACTCAGAAACCAAGTAATATCACTTCGTAATATAATATTGCATGTCTTAATTGTTATACATAGCTGTAGTTCAAGGTAAACAGGTTGAGACACCTAAAGAAATAGTAAAAAAGGAAGTCTGAAGATAATTTTATCTATTGATAGATTCGTTTTTGCTTCACTAAATCTAATTCATGGGTCATAAAAAATTTGGGATGGTAGGTAATACTTTTTTTACGTTTTTTTTTTTTGTGTAGATTTACTATCTGTAAGTATATCCAAGTCTTGCCACTCTTGCCAATGTACGTACTCAGGACATAATTCCTTTTACTTTAATCAAAATTATTGTTCATAGTAGGTACTTATACCTGACTTTTTCTTTTAATTCTTCATTTTTATTCAATCTACAATTTACTTATATTTACTTGGACGTTAAAAATCTCATTGTTGCCACCACGATTCTCACAACAATATTTTTATTCTGTGGTAGTTTTAGTACGTGACATTAAAATGTCAGTCAGTCAAACAAAAGTAGTGTTGGGTAGGACACGACTTGAAAAAGAGTTTGTAAGAGTAGCCTCTTTTTTGTACTGAGCCGGTACAATGTCCCATTTCAAATGAGGCGAGGCGTATTTAAGCTCGGCGATACATTTGAAGTAACTAGTACGAATATAACATTTGATGGATTGTCATAATATTACACTACAGAATACTTTGTAATATATATTACCTACTTTCTTTTTCATTTTGATGACGTGACATAATGTATTGCTTCGTAAAGTAAGAAGAAACGATTAATCTGATAAAATAAATGGTTTTTGTAGGTAAAAAAATAAAAATATCTTGTTCACAATATGTAATTGTTAAAAAATATACCATAGGTACCAATAAAAAATAAAACAAATATTATAGATTATAATTTAAAAATAATATTTTAGCGACTTTGTTGCCACTAAGCCTGTTTCTTCTCTCAGTAAGGACTTGGCCCGCTTTGGAAAAAGTACGCTCTGAAGGCACAGAGGTAGCAACAATGCAAAGTCGTCTCAAAAATAATTTATAAAGCCTTGGATAGGCGTCTTTTTTTGAGAACCACCACTTGGCAGGATCTTGAGATCTTGGCAGTAGGGGTTCCTCGAGATATTTATCTACCTCAATAATACCCCCTGCCGTCGGATTTGTATTTTTCATTATAATTTCTACTTGCTCATCAAATTCGTCCCATATGCTTCTTTTACGCTTATGAGGTGGCGGTGACGAAGATGCTGGCTCCTCGAGTCCTGTTTGACCACTATTAAGTTCAATTCGCCCGGCCATGGCTTTTAAATTAGAACACGCTCTGTCACAAGCGTACTTATTTTCGAATCCATATTTTTTAAATCTAGGATCTAAAATGGTGCTCTCAGCAAAAATGTTATTGTCTTCAATGCCCGAAAATCTTGTACTAATTTCGTTCAAAAGCACTTGAGCCATGCGCAGAACACAGTCGGGATGTGACGAAGATAAAAATTTAACACAATTCTTTTAAGAGCATTTGATATAAGTATAACCTGAAATTAATAAAAAATACCTATTTAGTACGAAAAAAAACATAATTATTAAAACTAAAAATACAACAAATATCTGCAATATACCTCTGAAATTGTGACATTTTTTTCGGAGCTCATCTCCTCAGTAACATCCTTGAAAAGGCTCAGAATTTGGATTGCCGAGTCCAGCACCTCAATGTCTTCGGGTGTCATATTTTCTGTGTCCGGATAGTCTATAGCAATCGTAGACATCACACTGTTTTTGATTTTCAGCACCCTTTCGAACATATCACACGTCGAGTTCCAGCGTGTAGAAACGTCTTGTTTCAATTTCAATTGAGGTTCGTCTAGCTTTTTCTGCATATCTTTTAGCCTTTCTGATGCAAGGGGGACTTCTTTTAAAAACTTCCACTATGTGTTTAATTTTAGTCGTTATGTTTTTTATTTCTTTCAGAGATGTTTGGACAATGAGGTTCAGTGTATGGGCAAAACAAGCTATATGTTTCCAATTATTTTGACGTATAGCAGCTTTGATGTTAAACGCGTTATCGCTTGTTGCTGCAACAATTTTGTCGGTAATTTGCCATATATCCGTGATGCGTTTTAGTTCTTGGGCTAAGTTTTCTGCCGTGTGTCTCTCCGGAAACTGGATGCATTCCAATAAAAATGACTTCAATTCTGCCTGATGATTAATAAAATGGACCGTTACGGCTATATAATTTCATTGGGGCTAGAGGTCCACCCATCAGTCGTAATACAAACATACTCAGCATGATTGAGTTCTGTTGTAACTGACTCTTTTGTGATATTATAAACATTTGTCAATAAAGCATTAGACAAAGTTTTGCGGCTCGGCAACTGATATGCTGGATTCAACTCTTTCATAAAATCTTTGAACTCAGGTGATTCGACAAGGTGGGAAAGCTAAATAATTTTTGGTGAATACTTTCACAAGCATTTTGTTGAGTTGGTCAGTTTTTTTTGCAGAAAGCGGCTTGCAAAAGTATTGAGTTAGTTTTGGTGTTAGTAGCTGGTGCTTTAAATATTGCAGTGGTGGCTGGTAAGGAGTCAGGTTTTTCAGGCATACAAGCAGCTGAAGCAGTAGATGTGGAAGCTGTAAGTGTATTCAGTTCTCGAGCAATTGAAACGGTCGTAGTTGATGGGTGCTGAATTTCTGTTGCGGAAGCTGTACTTTCAAGCAGCGGACATTCGCGTATAGCAACGAACACATGTGGATGCTTGCTTTTAGTGTGTCTTATTAAATTATAAGCACCACCACCTTTGTACGAAAATTCTTTTTTGGCAAAAATTGCATTTTGCTTTATTATTATTTAGATCCGTAAAAAAACTGCCAAGCTTTCGAAGATTTTCTGTCACCAGACATACTACGCATGCATAAAACAAAAAGAAAAATGTCATATTAAGTATATAATAATACCATTCAAAAATATGAAGTAGATTACGTACGATATAATATAATAAGTACATAATTGTATTAAATTAATAGGTACATATTAATTATTGAGAATAATTGAAGTACTGTTACTATTATTTTATTAAAACTTTATGTAGGAACAGTGGTGGTACATAGGCGAACTCATTATACAATATTTTCCTTATATTATTACATATTAAACTTACACCCATAACTATACCATATTCAAATTTATCAAAAAATCAAAGTATCAACCATAACCAATATAAAATTAGTAAACCCCACTAAAATATTAACACAAAATAAAAAAATAATAAATAGTTATTGAAAGTCATTCATAATAATATTTTCAAAGACTTACATGAATATTTGTCACTCAGAGATAATACTTTTCAATAGTTTTCATTAACTTATTAATTTCACAAGCACACAGCAAAACGTCAATTTCACCAATACAAATATTTTAAATTTAAAACGGTAACGTACGTAAGGTACGTTTCAATACTTTCAATGCACCGAATGCGCGACTAATCGTTTTTTTTTTTATCTGTCGTTTTTGTCAATTTATAAAACTATGTGTATTTAAAATTTAGATAATCAAAATATCCAATAGGAATCAATTTGCGAAAAATTTAAACAGCCAGGTTTTTTGGCGGGATTTAATCGCCAAAAACCCGTGCGCCTCATCGTATTTAGTTTGGTATTGGTAGTCCATTTAGTCGAGTCGCGGCTCATCGTCATCGGTCCATTGAAGAATGTCGTACTATTGTAGCATGTACCTAGCTCGTTTCCTCTCTCTCTTACGATGAGTGACGAGCGCGACATAAAATTTGAAGTAGTACATTTTATAGTGCTGAGCCGCTCTTACATTTTGACGTCATGTACGGGACAAATGTACTGCCTCTTGTATGTCCTACTCAACACTAAACAAAAGCATTGGCAACATTGAAATGAGCTGTCAAGACGTTTTAGCTTTGAGAGAATGTAGAAACAATTGATTTTACACGTTTTATATAGTTGTTTTTCTGAAATTATTTACTTTGTTTATGAAGATAAAATATCTAGCCGTTTAACTGTCACATAATGGCAGCCACGGCTCAAAGCGATTTATCGATCGCCGAGCTGAAGGCTGAGATCGAGAGGCTTGGCCGCGAGCTCGATCAAGCCAGCAGCGAGAAGATCCAGTCGGCACAATTGGGTTTAGTACTGCTGGAAGAAAAGAGCTCCCTGCAGCAACGATGCGACGAATTGGAGAGTCTTTACGAGAACACAAAACACGAGCTGGAAATCACACAAGAGGTTAGTGGCCTACATTCTGCTCATTACACTCTTCATGCATTAATGGGTACATTAAAACGAGCCGAAACGGACATTTAATCCGTATTTATACAATTCATATTATGTACTACTTTCAAAAGTCGCTGGTGAAAATTATGAGTATAACCTACATACAATGTAATAGCTGGTTGATCTTCTCTCCATTAGCATTCATTGCACATTAAAATTATTGCTTTCTTAGTAACACACCAGTTACCGTAATTCCTATATCATTCTGATAATGTCAATGAGTATGGTATAGTTTTTAAAGGTAAAAAAAAAACAATAACTTCTTATTGGGAATACAAACTTTTGTATAAGAACCTTCATCATCATTATAACTATGGTTATTTTAGTAAAAAAGTGACTTATTCATTCATGACTTACTGGTTTCTTTACTTGATGTAAATAGAAAGTACCTACTGTAAACGTACAAAAAATCTAGTATACACCCCTGTAAGTAGTTATATGTAATTAATCAATTAAATTAAGACATACCCAAGATTAATTATTGGAAAAATATGCTGAAGCTTACACAAAGTATTTCTTTACAAAACAAAGTTTGTCTTCAGTATTCCACTAGATTGTTCATTGTTCTAATATATTCTAAATTCAACCACTTTAAAGTGAGGAAAATATTTAATTATGTATAGAATAATTATCTCACTTGGCCATAACTTTAACTGGTGAATGACAATTATATTTCTTTAAACCATGACTCATGCAAAAAGTATCCAATGGCCACATTAACTACTTCTATTTTTTATTACTTTACTTTTAATTTTTTGTATATATTTTTTATACTGCACAAATCAAACTTTTTACAATTTGGTAATTTAAAATGATGAAATTTAATCAAAAATTGTGTTAACACTTATCCCCTCATGATCTTGCTTTTAATAATTCTCTCCTATAATATTTATGTATAGCAAACTTCATTCTAATCACTGACAAGACCAGACAAGACTCAGTGTTGTTTTTTATGTCACAGATTAATAAAATGAATCTTCATAATTCATTTCATAAAATGTAATATTTTCAGTCTTCAATATGAATTTTAAACTTACAGTTTATATACATAATTTCTTAAGTATTATTTCATGTATCCATCTAGATTTTATCTTTCAGCTTATCAGTTTACAAATCAATGTAGTAGGACCCTACTTATAGAATACAACTCTTCATGTCTCACCTTTCAATGGCTATAATAACAAAGCATAATTCCTTTTCATTTCTGAAGAAGTAGAGGCAGTGATACACAACCATTGATAATATAATTGTGTTCTTAACATTTTTTGTTGTCAACAGGCTCTTATGAAATTAGATACAACACAGAAAGTAACGACCCGGAGTGGAATAGAGCAAGAAAATGCTCTCCTCAACGAGTCCGCTGCTATGGAGAGCTCACTCACTCTTCAGATCTTGGAGCTGGAGAGTGAATCTAAACAGGTAAAGTCAAACAATGATAATTATCTATTACATATTATATAATTATACATACCGTAAGTTCAGGTTACTTTGACCCTAGGAGGTAACTTTGATCCAAATTTTCGAACCAATAAAAACTAATATATGTTTGGTTCTCAGTTATTATTGGTTAAAGGGTTTGGATCAAAGTTAAGCCTTCCAAGGTATTTAAATAATTATTTTTCGCGTCAATTGCGCGTATTATCTATATATCATTATACGTAGCTATATATCATTATGTTGGGTTTTCATTGTCACCACATATGGCACCTGTACGCAAGTGACAGATCACTGTTTTTAGAAATATATTCAGCAACTGGACCGCTAGTCAGAGTTCTACAATATATACACGTCTCCTTTCAAATACAATTATTCCATTTACAGGCACTTTAAAACATCAAAATAATTAATTCCTTTTAAAACTTTAAATACCGTAAACACCTACTCATCTCATTAAAATAACAAATTCAGCTTCAAAACAAAACTATATGTACTATTCATTGGGTTGAAAATGGTTTGGCAAAGCAAATCTCGGTGGTTTGAATCTCGCAATTTCGTTTTCCCGCCACTTCATTTAATATTCACAGAGTGAATGAGTGAATGAATTATTTATTTGCTTAAGTTAACATGAATAATATAATTGAGATGATAAAACATGGGAATTAAATGGATTTCGATGTTTATTAATAAAGCTGAAAAGTTGGTTTGTGTATTTGTAACTGCTGTAGACTTGGATTGTGACCTTTTTGCACTTGCTAGTGCAGCCTTCATGAAGGTGGCTAAATCGTTATAATAGGTATTTAATATATTTTTATCTAGGAAACTTTGCTGGAGAGATTAATTTTAACTGCGTGATTTTTCTAATATTATGTCATAGGTATGTAGTAATAATTCATGAAATAGTGGGTACAAGTATAGAATTGGGTAATTTCCTAGGTCAAAAATAAATTAATTCGACGTTTTAATACAATTAAATATTGAAGAAGTCGATAAAAATAGCTATAATCTTATTTTTCGATCTATCAATACAAAATTTTCGATATAAAAAAAATACTATTACGTCATCATTTAGAGTTTCACAGAAAAGTATAGTTTTTGACATTTGGATAATTGTATTGAAATAGACTAATTGGAAACTACTGGATTGGTTTAGAAATGATAAAATTGTAGTTAACACTTGATAATACTGCTATAGTTATACATGCAAAGCAGTTGCAAAAGCTATAGTTGAATGAGAAAAAATCATGTAATATAAAAAAATATTATTTACCAAGTCATCACTGTGAATTATTTATAAATACTTTCTTCTATATTTATAAATCTGACCAAAACTAATCCGAGATAAGGAAACTTGATAAGGCCCGGATTTCAATTTGAAGGAAAAATCTTTGTAGATTTTATCAACAAAATCAGCGTACGTCCGCAGCGTATATATTGTACATGTGTTTATGAGTAACTTGTGCGAAGCGATCCGTATTACTGATAGTGTGAGTAATTTGCCACATGTGATAAGAGAAAATTAATTTTATCATAGTACTATTACCGATGAAAATTATAGGCGGCGACTGGTTACTCACAAATTGCACATGACGCTCTGCCGCTGAAGTAAAACATTTTAATTTTAAGTTATGACGACCGTCTCATTATCTCATCCGACAATTTTCCCGAGACACATCTGACAGCATGCCTACGCTCGGTTTAATGAAATGGGAGCAATTGGTGTGAATCATCCGCGGACCCTCGGAGCAGTGCGCGCGAGACGCCCCTACTCAACACACTCTGGCTTCATTTTGTTTGAACTACACATTTTTACTCGAAATAAATATTATTTTTCACGCAGAAAGTACTATTAACCGTGGTTAATCACAAGTAACTAGCGGTGCAGCGATCGATAAAGGCGTGAACCAAATAGACCTCTATCGTACGTGATGTAATGCTCCGAATGGCGTAAGCGCAGCCGACGGGAATCCATAACACTGATCCAGAAATACATTTTTATTTGCCCGGCCTTGATTCACGTATTCACGCTTTACTCAATGGTGTGTAGATTTTTAGCAATGCACACACGTTCTGTGCATTAGTGTCTTTTAAAATTATGCCGAATATTTAGTGCGTGTGCCAAGTGAATGTGTGTAAATATGTTTTAGTGTAGTGCAAGCAGACTGCCGGCGATACTGAAAAATGAATGAAGGAGGCGAGGTATTCTTGTATTATTATTTCGTGTTTATTCAACTGGCTATCCCGGCGAGGGAGGTTCTTAGACGTTTCTCGTGTTTCACGTCAACTAGTGTTTACAGTAATAATGGAATACTGTTGACACTTGTTTAGCTGCTGGCAGTCCGCCAGAAAAACGAGTACACTACAAATGGATTTAATCTCCATTTATAGGTTTATCGGCATAAAGTTCCCCCGTTTCCAACTTTATGTTTCTCGCATACATAATTTATGAATTGATTCAATAGAAGCTATTGTGTCGTGGTAATTTGTGAGATAATGTCCCAATAGAGGCTTGTTCGGAAAGCTATTTATTATTTTGTTAGTTATTTGTTAGATAAAGTATGGTCGTAGTCTATTCTAAGTAGCCACACAATGAAATCAAAATTATTTTTTCCATGTACCTACCCTTATATGTTGAGTAGAAATTGGAACTTTAAAAACCTCGGCTAAAGGGATTACGAGGTGCGCAATAAAGTGCCCCTGTCCTGACGCGAAACAGGAGTAGGAACGAAATGGTTTTTAGTCAGTAAGAGTCTGTCACTTCCTCTCGTAGCATCCTGTCCCGCAATCCCGTAGTAATTCGAACTCAAAGCCACCATTATCTAACATTAAACACGAGCACTTTCCAAGATTATCAATCACTTACCAATTAAATTACATATAAGTATGTAAAAATTCACGCAGTCTATGAATTAATCACGTAAGTAGTTAGTGCGGTGTGAGTAAGCTCGCGCGGGCTCTAGGTCGATTCTCTTATCACCTGTAACCGATTTGCTTACAATGCCTGAGTCAGTGCGCACACTGAGCATGTACTATCAATGTCATTCCTGCCAGTGCACCGCTCGCCAATCAAGTATCATGCGTTATTGGATGAGAACGTCCAGGATGTGTGATTTTATTGCGATTGTTAGAGGCAAGTTCATTTCTTGGTCAAGGTAATTTACTGAGAAGGGAGGGGTATCGTTGATGCAGGTTTTACTTTTACATACCTTTCAATCGTGGTAATTCGAGACACATTAGAAGAACAATATGTCCGTGAACGCCGGCGTTCGCTTGGGGGTTTCATGAATTAATTATGTTCGTCTTCTAACCTGGTTGTATCTATTCATATTTATTTTGCCCTAACTTTTTTCAAGAGTTCTTCTTAGTCGATTGTTCTAGCAAAAGGTTTTGGGTACGATTCCCGAGTCTAGCAATCTTATTAATCAGATTTTTGGATTCCCAAAGTTCGCATACATCTTGTTTTACATGGTACTCATAACGATGTCTTATCAATAGATATCATCGGAATATCAAAGATATTATCGGGCCTACAACCTATCCGTAGACAAGGCTAGAGAAAAGGAGTCTACATTCAGTACAGTGTTGTACAGCACTACAGCTCCATAAATACTTCACGCTCTCACGGTTGGCCTGACATGACTGCCATGCGGAGAGTGTCATGGAGACGGAAGTCGTCTAATACTAAACGTCACCGCCTCGTCGGAGACTTAGTAAGAATGGCAATTACTAAGAACGCTGCTCTAAGATGAATCATAAGTTATTTAAATGATCATTATATTAACTGCACAATCCTTTACACATACGTGTTTACAAAAAAGATTTCTAAAATGCAGTACACCCTTAACTCCTTACGTCGTGGTGGCCAACGTCTGTTCGATACCTGGCAAGTACCAATGTGGCTTTCTGTGTTTTATGTACTTTCTAGTATTATTTAGATACCACTGACATACGATGAAGGAAAACATCGTGAGGAAACCTAGATCTGTATTTTTTTATTATAAGTTTGAAATCGCAAATCCGCCTTGAGTAAGCGTGGTGATTAATGCTCAAACCCTCTCGTGAGAAGAGGCCCTTGCTCAGAAGCGGGCACTTATAGGCTGAATATGGTACACTCCGGCTTCACCCGCCTGTCCAACAACTACCTTCGTGTCATTCACGACATCGAAAGGATTGCTATTTCTCGCTTTTCTCTTTTGCTTTACTAGAATTTCCTCTCATAAGAATCTTTTCCTGACAACAGGGAGGGGAATAATAATAATAATAATAAGCCCGCAGGGCACCTTGAGGCGAGGTGACGGGAATTAGCGATCCCGCGGGCTACCATCATCCCGATTGCTCCAGGGAGAAGTCACCGTTCCTCATCTCCGGCTTGCCTTCATTGGCTGGCCGGAGTGGACGATGACGAGGAACAGGTCTCCCACCTCTGGCTTGCCTTCATTGGCCGTCCAGAGTGGAGTCGCGAGAGTAGTGATCCTGCTCGGAGGGTGGAAGCTGTTCGTAAGCGGCGAGTGGGCCAGTGATGCAGGATGCTTAGGCAGATGCAGATGATCTGAGTAGAAAGCTGGTGGCAGTTTCTTCACCCTTCAGCCACTCACATTTCCGTTGTCCCTCTGTTGCTATTACTAGCAACCATTCCCGGGGGCCCGGTCGGTGAGTTGGCGAGTCTCCACCGGCCATTTTTACGTGTATTTATTACATTGTTTCGGCAGGTGCCATAGTCCTTCCATAGTTCCCATCATACCAGTCCATAACAACCCACACCCATAGTCTTATCCCTTGTTTCCATTATCCGCAATAGTCCTACACTAACCGGAGACTGTCCTTGGGTGCATTTCCATAGTGCATACAGGGATAGTCGCCGGTTAGTGTCCCATTTCATTTAGATTAAAGTTGTCTAAAGGGCCTCTGCGCAGTTGGCTCCGGCCCCTCGTACGCCTTCCAAATGACCGGGACCCTGTGGTCCCGTGATTGGTAAAGACATA